ATATGTCAGATTACTATATTTGAACGTTTTGCAGGATCATTTGACGTAAAAGTCTGTCCAAGACGGAGTACACTAAATCGTATAATATCCGCAGTATTTTAATTATGAAAGAACTAATCGGATTAAAGATTATCCCAATGCCGTATCAAATGCTGCATATATACTGTACAAGACTCAAATAACCTGATCACTCAATAACTATAAGAGCTTATATAATAATTTCGTACTTATCACTACGTTATCGACTAATTAAAAGATTGATTGCCATATTTTTATGTCTATACGGTAAAATTCTCACTAAATAAACTGATGTCAACGTTGCCCCATATAATTTAGAATGCGCCATTTCCGAAGACCTTAAACGCTAGGAAATAATTATAGTTTACCCTGCATATATAGAAAAATAGATATCAACATTTAATTGCTAATTTTGTCTATAAGATTTTCGCATTCATTTCTCAAAGCATGTAGCGGAAGATTAAGTGAGAAATATTTTTAAAGGTATTATTAGTATTTTAACACCATTGCAATATTCATTTTTTACAAAAATAGCGACTGACAAAAGAGATAATTTCTAATAAACAATGTAAAGACATGAAATCAGTAACGTGGATGAGGTAATACGCGTATATTAAGTTAATCATTTACGCAGGCTAGTATTCTCAGATTCAGATTCATTACCGTTTCTGAATACCGATTTAATTCATACAACGCTATATATACGCGTATAATGTACAGATTTCGAAAATATGGCTATTAAAAATACCAAAAGGTGATGCTTATGATTTGCTTCATTAAATGTCATGCTAAATTTAGCTCTCAATGCAAATAGAATTTAAAACAGCCGTAATTTTGTGATAAGCATATTCAGAATCGTAGTAAAATAATTTGTTGTATGGATCAAATTGATAAATTTTTAAGCAGTACTGTAACTTGCACGCGAGTAAGTACACGTAAGAAATTAGCGTATTACAGCTATCCACGTGTCTCAATTGCAGACTGAAATCGCTGTTACTGGCAAGTTCAATATATCTTTAATGAAAGTACCGACCACAGTGATAATTTTATATTCGTAATAATGTAAGCCAATGATTAAAACTGTATCAAATTTTATAAACTAAATAAGAATATTACAAAATGTAGCTGGAGTTATTTCTGTTATGCTATAACTTGTTTCTTAATAGTCGCGATTCATATTTTTCATATGAATTGCGACGTCTTATACTTCAACAAATTCGTCTTGTAGATTATTTACCTAATTATGCTCGCTGGTATATCATCCGTGTATATCGATAAAGCGGTGAAGGCATGTAATCAGAAAAGTTTTTATCAATTACCATATCGAGTAGATTAGAGAGCGCACTAATTTTGAATGTTTATTACGGGAATATAATTGCTTTATTTGATGATGTGTACCACAATACTGAGATGTATATTCGATAATCGAATAGCAATTAACTATAATAAACTATAACATACTGTACGTTAACTGCTGTACTTGTAAGTATTGCAGCCATTTAATTCATTTTCAGTTCGGAAGGTAAACAAAAAATTTCACTATTCCAGAAGTATACTGTTTCATTATACCAGTCATCATCTACAAGTTACTTCATTAAGCATAGCAGACTTATCTATGTCCTACAGTACTTTAAATCATATAAAACTTTCATTATGCTTCCATAATTTATCGAAATCACTCACGAGTATATTTTGATATTTTGCAGTTTTTATATGAGAAAGGTTAAATATTTTAAATCGAAGTAACAAGGATTTTGTTTTAATACCATACTCTTAGATATTTTAATAATAGCTAGATGTAAACTCTGATTGCAATATTTTAGCATTATAGAATAGCTGCAAGAAAATGATTGTTGTGATAGGACGACAAAATAAAAATGTTACCTTGAGCTTAACTTAATAAAATTCCTTTTTATAAAACAGCTTTGCAACAAAATAACGTAATGTACGATCAATAAGTCGATTCCCTGAACCGCATATCAGGGAGCAATATCTACTCCATCAGGAATACTTTTCCTATACTAGCTAACTACACAAAGACTTACTCGCCTCGTATTTTACGTTAAACGCTAATCTAAAGAGCCCTCTTTATTATACGATATATACCGCATTTCCATACTCTTTTACAATACTTTAGACATCCTAGTTAGTAATATTAATGCTGAAACCTTCTAATGAATCAAAAGCTAATTTTATCTGCTACTACCTAATGAAGGCAATAGTGTTTACGAACATAGACATCTAATGACTAATACAAAATAGTCGGATTGCAATATATCCTATAACGAAACATTTCCATGATAATCTACAATCTACCATAAGTAAGTTACAATCATAGTGATTTGAATTGTAGGAAGATTATTCTCGATTCCCGAAATTTAAGTACTAATTTCGGTATGCTGTCAGAAATTTCTAAGACTAACGTATTGGTCTTAGAAGTCTCTAATGATGTATGTATATATCGCTGCCATAAAAGCTAGTGCTGTATTTAAACACTATATATCTAAATTAGAAACTCACTAAATAAGAGTAAACCAACAAAATTATCCTAACGTAGATGTTTCTACTCTAACCTCGATATCGCAGTGTATAAGACTGTACCATCCCTACTCTTACTTTTAATCTGGGATTATAAAGTAAGAGTAGGGATTTTTATAAAGTTGAGTTCAAGGTAAAATTTTTTCTTTAGTAGTCTCTGGTTATGAGGCTTGCCAAGAAATGGCTGGCCGATATTACGATCGATAGATAAGACAATAAAGGATTTAAAAGACAAATATGTTTTTATTATTAAAAATTTATCCAAAGAAATATAACAATCTCATGTAGAATGAAAAATTATTAGCGATTGGCGAATGTACAAATAGGTTCGAAGTAAATTATTTGCAGTTTCTAACTAATAAATGAATCATAAAACAGCGCAATATTATTCTTTGATGAATTAAAAGCGAATACAAGATGCCGTTGCTATGAACTGTAGATACTAGCATTTAGCAGATATTTACAAAATTACATTTTTTATTTTTGCTTAAACTACTTAATCAGAATAATCATACCGTATTAATATCATTTACCTGGATAACTGTAAAAAGATACATTTCGTAAAGCGTATCTATGCTTACTTCTACGAACTTTACAGGAACGATAATTACCGACTCGGTACAATCCTTGATCAGAAGTGGAATGTACACTTCAATAGCATTATCAATTCTGGCTATCATTAATACTTCCATTGGTTGAGACTTGAGATTATCTAAGATGTTATCTCTGCAGCAAACTACAGTGCGCAGTACTATACTAGATTTTGCAGCCTACATTTTGAATTATCCATTTCTAACTACAAAAATTTCAAAAGTAAAGAACATATTTTTCAAATATATCTGGCTATCCTTATCTCTTTAAATAGAAAATAAGTTTTGTTAAATTTCTTTATGCAAAGAAAGTTACGTTTTATGTGTACAGTATTTAAAATATCGTAATAGTAATTTACGATGCTTTAGAAACTTTTAGCACTTGAGTTTAAAGATTTATTCCAAGATTGATTTTTCCTTGTCTCAAATTGATTGTAGTAAGTAACAATACATCAAATAAACGAAAAGACACTATTATAATTTCTTGTTTAAGTTAGATCGGGCTTCAATTCTACACTTCCAGCAAGTAAGATTACAAGAGCAGAAACAATAAGGAAAGTGGATCCCATGAAAAGGTAAAATTTAACAGGGTCCTCAAATATATTGCTAAAGCAAGGATCCATTATATCTTCTTTAAAGCTTACTAATTGTGAAAGAAAGAAAGACGAAGATGTACCTTCCATCGCCATAGCTACTCTTTTAAGTAGTATATTTCGATTCTTTATTCCAATTATGATTCAGTTTTCCTGTTTTGTGTTATTATTGATCGAGTTTACTCGTATATCGACGGTTTACTAGCTCATTTTCAAATGCTTTTGTAACAATTGAATGCTTGTTATGCGAACATTATGGGGGGGGGGGGAAAGTAAAGATGGTAAAGTATGCTTTGACTTACTATTATATTAATAGTATTAGTTCAAGTAGTGATAAAGCGTGTACCAATCCTAGGTTCTAATCGTCCAATAGTCTTTATGAAATTTACGTATGTAGTTCATTCACAATCTCTCATTTAAGGGGTTTGCTGACATGTTGCGTTCATCTATGGAGTAGTGATGGAGATTATAGAATAGAGTTCATCATCTGTTCAAAAAATATCCTCCTACACAAAGTCTTAAACAATTACATATATTTTTAGGGATGTGTATCATTCATAAATGTACACATCACTACATGCGCCTGTAGGTAAATACTTGATTTTACTCTATAACTATATATTTTGTGTAGTAACTAGATACAATACTGCCTGTAGTTAATTTTTCAGATATGCATAGGTATGTGTCTGTATCGTATACTGTAATTGGTTACGATGCGACTGATCATAGACTTTAGTTTAGACCTTCTATTTTTCTATTCACTTTTCACCTTTGATGTTATTTCTGTGATTTCCTACAGTATAGCATTACACTGTATTATTTAACCTAATGCATAAAAGCCTTCAGAGCATAGTCAGTAGCATTCATTGGACAGTTTATGTATAGCAACTACTCACAGGTTTCGCTAATTTAGAATTCAGACATATCCAGACAATGTCAATTAGTTTCCATGACAGCAGCAATTCTAGCTAGTTGGAAGGTTTTTGGCGGTTGCTATAGTAATGCTGACGCTGCATTGACGGTATATTCCATTACAATATTGCTTACTGTGTACTGTCTATAATTTCATTAGCGATATTACGGATCTTATTTAATCTTTGTAACAATCTGGTAGCTTAGATACCACAAGGATAGATTACTTTGCGATACTACGGTAACAGATCAGGAAGATCTTAACAAGTATCATTCTGAGACTTGTAATTATAATATCAAGAATATATACTTACTACACCAATCGCGATAATTGTAGCAGTGAAACAAGATGACGGCAGTTGTAAGCGGAACTTTTGTCGGTACTTACAGAGAATCATATGAAACTAATCCATTACTGAAGAAGGTAAATTTATCCTTTGTATCAAGGAAATCAAACAGATTATAACAGATTTTTAGTGAGCCTTTGCCCTCTAGTAAATGGTATGAAATTTATGCTAAAGATTTAAGATAACTTTCAGTTCCTTTCTAGCAATTTAATTCCTAGTGTAATAACCCGGCTTCATACTAATAGTAAGAATTAGTGAATATCAGTAAGTATTTTAGGTAAATAGCTTTGATTAATCCATACTTTGATAACCTGTAAGAATAATGAAAACGGAACAGTACGTATTTGTTCAATTAGCAATAGTACTTAAATTAATCATTATCGTCAAACACAGTAACATTGTTTCTAATCAGGAGGAATGCAGGTGCTTTTTTGTTGACATGAAATCGTTATACATATCGTTTTAAAAAGCATCCGAAAGAGCACGAAATTTTTTTCATGACATTTTATTAATTAGAACTCGATTGAAATTTTATTAGAACAAAATTTATGCTGTTAGAGTCACTTAAAATCAAGGCTAAATTAAAAAACATTATGAATTTTATATGAGTTTGCAGCAAGTTTCCGAATATAATCAAGGCTTTATATTAAAGTATCGTTATAAACTGCATTGAAGAATGCAGCTGACATAGAATTGATAACAATTTATTGTAAGCATATTTCTGATCATTTCCGATTATCGATAAGAGCGATAGATATTTTATAGATATTTTACTATTAGCTTTCATGTCTATAACTGAAGCGCAAAGTACCGAAAATTTTAGTACACAAAAGTAATCGATTTTCTGTAAGATTAATTTGTATATGACGTTATATATCGTAAAGAATGCAAATAGTGTTACCGCTCGGTTTGTAAATTATGTGTTGGCTATAAATTAGTAAAATAACAAATTTAATCCCTACGGTTAGGAATACTCTCATAATATATAAAGTATCACAAATTCTAATGTTGTTATCACCTTATAGAGCATATTCATAATCGATACGGGTTATAACTTTCTGTGGAGTACGATGACACAGTAAACCATTATATTTTAGTTTCTCTAATACAAAAATGAAAGAAATATTATTTGGAAGTTGATACTATTAATTTTCTGTTGCAAAATGTAATATCACATATCATAAATCTACGATCTGCACTGCGTTCGTATATATGCTATATATACAATATTTGATGAGATATGACTAAAGTACGTATCGCATATGTGTGGTATTAAATTTAAGAGTTAAGTTCAAATTATTATAAGAATGAAATTTTACTTGAACATTGTTCAGATTTGCTATCACAGCCTTTAAACCTGCATGTATAATATTGTATTTATGAACAGTCTGAATTAGGACGTCCATTAAATCGTGGCTTTACCCTGCCTGGCGATGATTTTGTTTACGGTGTGGCTAATCATGATAAAGGTGGCGGCGCTGCTCAGGGTAAATTTATATAGGCATAAAACATGAATATTTCAAGAACTATCTGCTTTAATTTACATTTATTCTGGATGTATTATGGATTAAGTAAAAATTGATATATTTTACTTGTAATGAATAGCTATAATGCATTGGAATAAAGACTTAAATCATAAGACGAAATTGCCTGCTTTGAAGAAGAAAGAGCAGCAACCGAAAGATTTTATTACGATGAATAAAGCTGCAACTCAATCTGGTATAACAACATCTAAGGAACAAGCAGAGTTTAGAGAAGTCAATGAAATTAGACTAAAGAAATCATACGAGAGGAGAGCTAAACAAGCTCATAGGATACCAGTAGAAGCAGTCTTCGGTCATCCCACAAGGTAGAACCACATGAATACATTGCATGATATTATAAATTCAAAATTTTGATAAATTTTCTTAATCACTTGTATTCTTTCTATAAGGCCATCTACGCCAGTTTTTGATCTGTTGGAACATAAATATCAAGAGAAATGGATACAAGAAAAAAGACAGCATGAGCTTCATACCCGCGAGAAGAAGCAGCAAAAGGTTTGTCTACATAAAGCATCAGTTTTGTATGAGATGTATTTATATGATACCGTACGTATTTGGTAAATGAATCAATGTAATAATAAGCATTGCCTAATAAATTCAGATGTTAAATGGCAAGATATATGAAACTAAGGCTTCTCTTCTACGGAAATTTGAACCACCTGTACAACAAACTTCATTTTGGCATATGCCCAAATGGGAGAAGGTAAGCTAATCATAATTACACTTAAATCATGTGGTGCATTATAATCGTGGCTATGGGTGCTATCAAGGCTACTATTAGTTGTTTATATTGTCAAAGATGCAAAGTACTATATAATTTTATCGAATAAAATGTTTAGAATGAGGTATGATACGGTATATCCAAACGCAAGTGTGTTATAGGAGCTTTACTTATTTATTAGTCTTGCATTTTTGAAAGTTAAACTGTTGAAAATCAGATCAATGTTGAGAAGATAAACTTTTTCCGGTATTACAATTGCAAACTTAAGTTAAAGAACTTAATAGATTGCGTAAAGTAGTCATGTATATAACGTATTATATAAACTATAATTAAACGATGGTATTTAATACATGTATGTGCACATAACATTTCATCGGTAATCTAACGGATATTATCCTTACTGATAACCAAAAATTATTTCACACTACGATAGGTTCCGGCACATTTAGAAACTTTTAGATCAGTTAAAGCACGTGAAGCATCATTTCAAAAGCTTTATCAGGATGGAACAGCTCGTAAAGGTATCTTTCATCATGGGGTATATGAGTTACCTAATGGCTGTTAATTAAATGTCAGGAAAGAACTTTTTAATGATAAATTCAATACAAGATATATTGTAATCAAAGTCACAGCTTGTGTATGAACGCAGTTGTGTAAATAGAACTGTATATATATATATAAATCTCGCTCTCTCTTAGTGTATGTGAGTAAATACTGCTTTTGATTGATTTTAGCTATACATGAGCTAGGTGGATGGTTAAAGCAATATTTTATAGTATCCGATATCATTAACGCAGTAATATACATGATTCGTAACTTATTTGCAGTAGATGTAAGACGGAATTATCGTCGATCTTGTAGCAGGGAGCTGACAACGTGTTTTAATTCACGATTGAAGTGTCCCGCATAGAAACATCGGCATTAAAACTATAGTAATATACCGTGGCATCTGTTACGAAATTGAAATAGATTATTTTGGGTTACAATGTAAATTGGATAATTATTGTTTAAATTCTTGTGTCATGAGCACGCGCATAAATTCCTTATTTTCATTAGCTAAAATTTTTTTATCTAGATTAGATCAATATAATAAAATGTTATTTACACGATGTATTATTTTGTAAAAGTCATTAAACTGAAGACGATCCTATTTTATCAATTTGATACAATACTGAACACATCAAGCAAAGTAAAATAATTTCTTGCGTCTAGTAATGACTTCAGAGGTAATCTATCTTAATTAAATTCCGTGCTGGTACATTTCTATTGCGTAGGTGAATTTTTCAGTATACTGAAATTATTGAGATTCATCGTCCATACACGATCGAATATACAGTAACAGTTATGCAAGATTTATCATAAGAGGATATTTACCTCTTCTAGAACAATCAATAAACAACGACTATAAATTCACACTCAGCGCCTATTATAGTTGTAATAGCAATAAAGGCAAACTATTGAAAAGGCCAACGAGTAACGTAGTCAAAGCCAATTCTGTATGATCAGATATTGCAGTTTTAGAGCTTCAGTACCTATTATTTAGTCCCACACAGCACAATTGGCAATAGTAATGTAATTAGTAACTAAAAATAGAAAACTACTATCTTACAGTCTACAGTCAGAGCTAGCCATAGATTTTTTCATTAAGCGTTCTAAGTATTTACGTTATCAATAATGCAAATGTTCTACCTCATTAGAATGTATCCCTTGATTACACGAATAGGTTATTGTACTTTTAGACGCATGGAGGACTTGCAAAATAGCCAGCATTGTTCTTACGAAATCCTCGGGTGCCGTATTACCGTATTGTTAAACATGGAATAAGCTCATGGTTGCCCATTATTCAGAAAAGATAGGGATTATTGCTTATTTCAATCATGCTCTACTAAATTTTACTTGCCGTGCAAATATGCAATATCTTCGAACATAGTATGGATCGCAATTGCTACTTAAACCCACTAATACGGCAGTTGTCTTGCTTGACTCAAAGTACGAGTAAATAAAGTTTATAGCATGTAGAGAAAAAGTTTATTTACTTTATATAATTGTTCGGGAAGTCTACAAATTTTAAAAATTAATTTATCCTGATGGTATAATACACCGTATAGAACCTAGTTCCATCTCAATCATATCATATCAAATATTATACAGTCAATATTTACAATCAATTTCGTAGTGAGAATTAACCAACTGTAATGATTGACTCCGGAATCTGGACATTTCTACGTGGCAATATTTGTGCTCATTGCATCAGCAGTATTATATATGTATATGACTGTACATAAACATCATCAATTAACAATTATGTAAACACCTTTCGTATACATTGAGTACTCTAGTGATAACTAAATACTGTTTGGCATTCACTGCGAAATAGCGATTACTTTCGCAATGGTTAAAGGCATCTAAATACTAGCGAAACAAATATTCTAGAAGTTGCAACCATTCCCAATAAGACCTTTTACGAAGATTAATTAAAAGTAAAAGAACTTTGTAATATTGTGTGGAATATTTGCGATGCTGTTATATTAATAACAGCGACAATTTTTAGTAAGATATATCCCAATTTGTAAGATAAGTTTCCAATTACTGCAACACAGCCACTAATAATTATATCAATCCACGCTAGCAACATTCTAAGCTCAGACGTTAGTGTCATGTAGCCTCTTGATTCTCGATGTGGCCGAGTTGCTCACTCTCGAAATTCCCTCGGTAGCACCGGTTGTTGTGACGCTAAAGAGTAATATTGAATGAGAATATGCCAAATTATAAAAGTTTAAAGTTAGAAACGTGGTTCTAGAGAAATGATGAATTATTAACTGCACACGTAGCCAGCAGCAGCACAAACACTGAAAATGATACAGTACAGTATATGGACAACATCTTACACTTCATCCACAGGTATATCGTCATCTTCTGTTGGAAGCTGAAAGTAAGGGTTATCGGCAATGGGTCGAAATTTGTATCTAACATTCAAAGAGTCAGTAAGACGTTATTGTACGATTCGGTGCAATACTACTGCATTACTTCTGCACTATGTCAGCGCATATATCTTACCCAGTTAAGAAAAAGAAAACGAAAGTTGCTAGGTCTGTAAAGAACTACAAGAGCGAGTAATACAAAGTTAGCTAAAAGGCGATAGACATTTATGTCAATAAGATAGATCGTGAATGATTTTCTTACGGGAGCTAGCCATTCATATTGAAATGGTACGGTGATCTAAGGTGAAAAAATTTCATTATGAAGAAGGTATGAAAGTTATGTTGAAAAATCATACAGTAGCTTTACATATATTTTTATATTCGCATTACCTTCAATAAGTAAACAATGATTCTCGTAAAATAGATGTAGCACACAATCTAACCATAAGTAAATTATATTATTATTATTGCGATATTACAGAAGTTGATTTAAATCATCATAGTATTCATTTTGTCGCATAAGTACCATGACATAGAATTGTCGAAACAATTTAAGCTTAGCCAAATTCTGAGCGGCTAGATAAAGTTTAACAAATTAAAAGTTTAATTTTTTGTCTAGATATATGTACAATTTCAAATGTAAACCTTTTCCGTCAGTCTTTGAGGCTTCCTGCAAGTGCTTTATCGACCATACGACCGGGAATAAAATTGCACCGCAACAAATTAAATCAACTAAGATGAAAATTTCGCTGTAGGAAGAGTTAAGAACCAGAGACGATGCAGTAAAACTGTCTAATTAATCTTTAATTATTATCGTTGAAAGATATATCAAATTCATAAGATTATTTTCGTACACTAATTACACTAGAATAAGGATATCCAAGTAGCATATTGGGCTTTGCCTTCATCTGTCGATTCCATTACTATTTGTGCAATATTAGCTAATACCTAGTCGTAGATGATAAAGTATTGCAAATTACTATTTATATTCCTATCAGAAGATAATTACTAAACAAGAACAGGCCATGCAATATTGTTTACCTGTAGTGGAATGATCATTAAGAATAATTTCTTGTCTCTATCAGATAATATGTGCTTCACGAATGCCCATCCAGTTCCAATAAGTACAATGGTGATAATTAGCAATGCTCCTTTCATACTAGGGACATATAAATTACAATACATAAATTGTTAAATAATTAATCATTCCATCGCTGATAAGGCGTGGGACTCGTAATCTATACTTTTGTATAAGGTTTAATGGTTATTTAGCATTCCATTCGAACGCTATATATTGGATAAACTACTGCGCATTGCCCTTCACTTACAGATGAATTATATAGTACAGAATGGCCCACGAATCCGCTTTCAAACCATATAAATCAATCATATGGTAGTGTACCTAGTTATTATGTAGATAAAATTAAAAGCAATGTTATATATCTCTGCAGCACATATCTCAGTTGGAAGAGGGAACTTACAGCATGAAAAGCTAGGTCTAAGGCCTTAAATATTACCAACAGCAACATTAGGTAGTGAATAATGAAAACCTTTTCTCTAGAATACAAGATAGTTGTAACAAATTAGTAGCAAGATATCACAATCTAGATAGGAAATCGTTTACATCATTTTTACCGATTTCTTCTCATCACGGTAAACCAAATTATTGCGGAAACAAAAAAAATTCCGGACATAATACCATAAACTTTCGGTAGCGGTCGCTAGATCGAATTATGATTACTAATTAAAGTAGCTATTTCAATTAAGGACGTTGTCGCAATAACAAAACTTTGTAGGAATTTACTGTTCTACCTCTCCAGCTGATAGATAACCCTCTTCATTTTTCTCTACAATTTTAGTCTAATATTGTGCAAGACATGGATATATTAGCTACCAAAGTATTTTTATATCTACTGTACTAAATAGTTTCATTCTGGCATTATCAAATCTAATAAGATACAATGTGACTATGGATTGAGTTAGCTGATAATCGTTACGAAGTAAGTGTAGTTACCTCCATATTAATAACAAGGGGCTTAGATACTTTGTCGCTATCGCCTTTATCATTGTAGCAGTTGTGAAAGTATAAATTATATAATCCTTCTTGATCCAGATTTTCAATAACTACCTTAAACTAGAAATATTACAATCAGCAAAATTTTGAGTAAAGATTCTAACATCGTATGTTAGCTTCCTGGTGATATAAGCACAGTATTACGTCAAAAAATATTTCGCAGTCTGATATAGTTGTCTTACTTGACCCGAATACTGTTTATCTTTGTAGGTAAGAGGAATATAAAGGATACGCCTCCTTTTATCATGCGTCTTGTTAGGTCCTTCCCCTTTTCCACTGCGCTTTCCTCCGCCTTTGCCACTTCCTGGCGCAATGAAATTATAACGTATTTATTAGCATCAATATTTTTGCTAATCACGAGGTTTACGATACAGTTTGTTGAGATTATTGCGCTTGTTAGTTTTAAAAAAGCATTGGTCTAAATGATAAAGCGTTACAATACACTTTTAATACCTTGCCGTAAAGATCTCTTGATCTTGATGCTATCATGATCTTCAGCAGTTAACTTTGTCTTGGTACTTGTAGTAGAATTTGTTACTTTTATAGAAGTAGCGGTGGACGTGATATCGGTAACATTGACTTCAGTGGCATTCGTTGGCACAAGAATTGTAGGGGTAATACTAGGATCATCTGGTGCGATGCTTTGAATCATTAGGTTCTTAGAATCGTAATATCTTGCAACAATTATCCTAATAAATAAAGTAAAATGGGTTCCTTTTAAAAACTGAATATTTACTTGCCTTACTAGCTAAAGGGCTATGTAGTATATACATAGCGTATTACTCAGGGTAAGTAGATATTTACTTAGTATTAGTCTAGTGTAGATCGCAATGACTTATCATAATATTAGTATCAGTTGTCTATGGTTCAACCATGATCGTCAATTTACCACAGCGTTTACTGTAGCGTAAAACTTGGTATAACTTAGTCAATTCACATTATGACATAATAGTAATATGCGATTTTTGGCATTGCTGTGTCCATTATAATAATCACTGTTTTATTAATAACAATTACTATAGGCTGATATCATATTTTATCTAATCATATATCCAAATCAAGCACATAACTAACCTTTTCTTTACAAGATCAAACGTAAACACAACTGATGGATGCTTTTTAACTTGTTTGCGTTTACTCAGGCCACATGAATCGTGATTACGACGTTCCTATTTCGGGAAGAAGTATAGAAAATTCGATATAACCACCGAAATTCCTCAAGACTATTGCATAACAACCTCAATCAATGTAATTTAGCATTTCAACATGTTAGTGAAAGTAGTCAGCAGTATTCTAAATCTATCACGATCACACTTATGAAGAAAAATCTAGCGCATTCATACGGTGGCTAGTGAACAATATTTACATAATGTATTGTTTAAGTTAAAAATTGAACTAAATCGTCTTAATAACTTAAATTATGATTGAAATTGATCCTTCGAAATGATTTTTGGTGATAAGACGCAAAAGCCACCTTTATAAAGTTAGACAATACGATTGTACTTCATAGGATGATTATTATTGACAATGTGGGCATAAAAGTGGAATTTACAATATTATTTGTCTGCTCTAAAATGCATATAATAATGTTTTAATTATCTTCATAACGTCTAGGCACTATACTTTACTACACTGTAAGAGTCTAATCGAAACTTGCAATTGTTAGTAGATCCTTCAGTATAAATAAAATAAAATCATCAAACAGTTGAAATTATATGGTGATAATACAGTACTTACCATATAAGACGAGATGCCATCGCTTGCTGTTTTAACTAAAGAGAATCCAATCTATCAGTAAATTGACGGAAAGAAAATATATTATAAAACGTTCACTCTTGCTCAGCAGCGAAACTGTACGCAGGAGAATAAGCTACTTAATGTTTCAGAAGATACAGTAATGTAATACGTGATAAAGAGTATAACACTTGTAAGATCATGAAAATTTTGCAGATCATTTTAATCCTTTTTGTCGAGGAGCGAGTATACTGTACAGTTTACGGAGTAGCAGCCATTCGATTTATTCGAGCAATTACAGACAGATACGACACAGTCAAATTATAGTTATAAGAGTGCGTACTAGCTACGTGATGCAATACGGTACCGTATAATATTTATAGAACACTATATAATTAGATTGTAACTTACCTTTTTCTTGGGATTGGAAATACTCGCATTAAACATTTTGATATAAACCTGTAACCTGCCGCCTTTATAAAATCCGAATGAACTTAAGGTAAAACTTTTTCGGTTATCGTTCTGCGCAGTATACCATCATCAATAGGATAGAGTATTTAACCATTGCCGTTTAATAATGAAAAAGGATTGTGTTAAAATTACAGAAATTTGTTATAGGAACATAAACGAAAGACAGGTATATACAGCAGGTACACGACAGTAATTATTATTGAATAATAATATATATCATAAATACGTAATTTTAATTTTAACAAGTCAATGCATTATAATAAGCATTCAAACAGATATTCAGTGGCTAAAGTATGATCGATTTTGCTTTTACTATAGCGATAGTACTCCCTAACCTTTACATTTAGAATGTGTATGTTGGCATTACAAATCACTGAAATGGACAGCAGCAAGAGACTTAGCCGGGTATAACTTCGAATCAACGCCATGATGATTTCGGTAGGTATCTTTCCTTTTCTACAGCAACACCGTGGCACTTTGCTGTGGCTGAACGTACTGTTCTTTGTACTGTACAGTGTACAGTCGCCAACTTCTACAGTGTACAGTACACAAGTGGTCTTGTTCTGCGTACTGTACACTGTAGTTAAATTACTACAGTACATTACTCTACTGTACAGTACTGTGTACTGAACTGTACACTACTGTACACTGTACAGTACATTGGGAGTCTAGATGACGTAATTACTACTTAATATAATTAATTAGTCATCGTACAGGACACTACAGTATCATTGACCTGTACAGTACAGTACAGTACTGTACACTGTAGAGTCTACAGTACTGTACACTGTAGTGTACAGTACTGTACTGTACAGTACAGCAGGGACCTTCATCTGTATTTTTGGGGGATGCCGATCCCAAGAAAGTTCAAGCTGAAATTTTGACTCAATTGGTCTACTGTACTGTACTGTACAATAGAATTCCCTAGGATTCTAGAGGTTCATGACTATAAAACATTCTTATGGGTAATCATTGTGACTTCGTTATGAATTTGAGAAACAATGGACAATATTATTTTGCGCAGTACTATCATGCATCACAAAAATACTCGTGTTCAAGTGCTGGCCAAAATGGCTAATTAATTATATGTTGAAGTGATCGATGACATACGGTATATGTCAATAATTGTAATAGCTGTTATGCCCGGCGTTGCCCTAAACGGACTTAGAAGTTGATCGCGTATACTTTCTAACGTATATCTGCAGCTCCTTAAATGAATTTGAGCTCGGATGATTTAGAGGATGATATAGTGAATATACACTCACTACTTAATTATACGCTTATGTATAAAAATACACAGTGCAATGTAATTATAGAATAATTTTTTGGATCTAAGTAATGAGATTGTTCGAAACTGTAAACATGATAAGCTAGGTACTCCATTTATGTCTATAGACGACTTGTATTTTATGCGTTTATCCATCATATATTATACCGGTAAACAGATATAAATGAATGTCAGCATTTTAGTAATGGCTGTTTGCATCAGTATACTTGGCAGTTACTATTGCCAATGCCGAGCAAGTTATATTATATTAATCAAAATCGCAGTCGTCAATACTTTGTATGTCCAGTGTAGGTATAACTTAGCGATAATAGGCAATAGAACTAACTTTAGATTAATTAGCTGGACAACTGAGTAAAGCAGGATCAGTCATCAGTGTCAGTAAAATTTTGAATTACATTATTTCTATATACTGTATTTGTCCTATTCTTAATTATGACTTAAACATAATAATTCAGGACGGATTGCGCATATTTTTAAACTAATTCGCTGGTATGAATCTGAATGTTGGTGATCTGATATACGGCATTTCTATTTTATTTTAATAATTAGAAATAGACCTTTACATCATATTTCAACTTTTGAATGATCCCTACTAACAAATCGTAAAGTTTTGCGATCGAGAATTAATTACAGCAGATTGGTTTCGTTTCACTAATAGTAACAATGAAATTTGATAATTCCAACTGGTTGCATGACTTCGTATAGATATCAAACTTTGGCTACTGACTGGGTGAATGGATCTCATTCTAAAAGTATGCATTTATTTACAGTCAACAAGCTTTGTTAACCATATAGCTAAGATAATCTAAAGACTAAATCGAAATAATGATACATATCGTAGTTGTTGCAACCGCCTCTAATCAGCATTCGTTAACATCTTCCACCTAATAAAGTGACGATATCATCTTAAACTACGAAGGCATTAAATATTTCAATACAACTGCATGCTTTAGCCTAAATGGCAATTGCAGCTATTCAATGAATGAGATTAAAGTCAAAAACTGCGCCCAATATTTCGTCAATTATTTATCTTAATAAAGTACATGCACTCCGCAATCAGTTATATATGCATATGAAGGCTAGTATTGCAGGTAAAAAAATTTAAGAAGTTATAATACTCATAATTTACAACTGATAAACAATGAGAAATAAGAATCAATTTCAGACTTGTCGTACTATCTACAATTTTCATTGTTTGATGTGCAGGCCTGATAGTCTAGACTGCATAAATAATTACAGAATTTACTAGATAACATAACTGGAGACTTTAAAATTTGTATGACACTGCCAAATACAAATGCACTATAATCAGAATACTTTGCCAGCTATGGTTCAAAAGTAAATAAAATATTTAATGTATTTAAGTTGCATCAGTTTATGGGATCGCAACTGCTTTATTATGCATTTCCTGTCCTGGCGGATTTTTAAGGGTATAATAATGAGAGGAAAAGACTACATAAACTTTAAATTTTAATACATAGTTTTATGCATTTTCTGCTATCGGATTAGCGTGAATCGTAATTTTTCTTATATGAATATTTCGGAGGGGCCGATAAGATTTTTCGTCGACTGGAATCTTCTCAAGATCATCAAGTATTTCAAATCCATCAATTACCCTGTCGAAATTAAATATTAATAATAATATATCAGAAAATTAATAAAAGCTATTGTTTTATAAATGGTCTCAAAAGTATCAAATAGATAAACTACATTGCACACCGCATATAGATTTGATAAAACAGCAAAGTAGTACAGTAATTACCTCATAATTTTCATCTACCAGCAACATTCTATAGTAATTATGCAATTTATTATACTCCTGAACATACAGTATGAGTAACTGTAACTATTACGTTGTACTTACTTTCCAAAAATTGTGTATTTGTTATCCAAATGCGATTGCTTTGCATAGGTGATAAAAAATTGAGATCCATTCGTGTTTGGTCCACTATTTGCCATTGAAACCATACCTCTTCTACTGTGCTATAACATAAAAAGATGCCGATGTAGTTTCTAATACATAACTAATTCTTAATGAATTTTTTGTTCCAGACGTAGATAAGGGCTTATACCTTGACAGCATCATTAAATTCGTCTTCGAATTTTCTACCCCAAATGCTATTACCACCTTTTCCGGTTCCTGCATCATCATACCCATATTCATTTATGAATTAAGATTAATACTACAGCTACAGTATAACTGCTAGAATGAATCTGCTATCTTTATATAGTGCGTGAAGGATATGGGTAATTAATTACATACGTACAGTTGAATGATTACACAGGTATTAAACAAATTACTGATACACATCATAAAGCAGTAGAAATATCATATTGTTTAGCAATTCAACCTGTAGGATCTCCGGCTTGTACCATAAATCCTGGAATATTTCTATTGTAGTATGATGATACAAGATCAAGTTGTAAGTAAACCGACCCAATTTCTTTAGGTATACAAGTATGAATATACGACAACTAATCACTAGTATAAGTTAGTAAAGTTGCTTAGTATACGTTGCAATAAAAACAGTACATTAAGATCAATAATTGGCCATTCAATTGATTTGCATTATGATCCTAGTAAACGGGACTTGATAAAAATCTGTAATCATTGTATTATACTGTACTAATTTACGTTGCACCGAACTAGAAGGTTTGATATAATCTAATGTTTTCCATTATACTATGACGAAGTGCAATATTGAACATATAAACTATTAGCCCGTTAGTAATTGAGAAATTTAAAAACTGTTCAGAAATGTAATTGAATACCACATTCGTATCATGTGTAACTAATTAATTTCGTATATCATCAACAGCTAAAGTGCTCTTTAAACGGTACTCCTCGTAATGTACTTATCATGGCTATCATGTAATACGGTAAATTAAAATTTATATAATGGCACTCTTCAAGGTTGCTAATATAGCTAATTTATCAAGGCAGTGTAGCATGATTATAGAATGAACTTACCTATGAAACTGGCAATCATCATAGTAATTACTAGCACACAAAGCTAAAAAGTTCTACAAGAGAATATTCATTCAAGTTACAGTCAAAACTATTGCAGAACTCCTTTAATCAGAAATTATCCAATAGTTGATATGATATCGCCCGGTACCTCACAAGCTTTTGGGCATTCGTCACAAAATAATTCAATCTTCAAATCTCCTAGGTCAGTATGCAGTGTAACAGACTGCAAGAAAGATTTCTATTAGAATTTGAGCAAGTTCCGTTTTGCTTTTGTCATAATGTATAAGTTGTGATATCTCAATTTATCCAATCGCTCAATTATATTTGTATAATTAATATGTAAGTCTTATCAATTTTACAGCTAGTAAATTACTTAATGATTCAATATGGTTACTAGTTGCAAGTACGCGTATGCTCGAATTTCTATTGTATACTGTGAACTAACCATTTTATATATCGTACTTTAACCGTATATCGTGCTTTGCATTCTTCGTAGAGAAATTCTTTTAATTGATTGATTGTACAGGAAGTTTCAAGCCCCTTAGCGTAAGTGTCGTATTTTGAAATACTAGCGGTCTGGTTTTTGCACAGTGATTAGCAACTTTGTTCCTGTTGAATATATTAATTCCTCAAGGACAAAGTATTAAATTTGCAAAAGCGGGATTTATTGAGTGAGCGAGTGATATTGAGCTTGAGGATATTATATCATGAACGGCAGCAGTACTGTACACCGCTGAGTATGCAGCAAACACAGTACTGTAAGTACTGTACTGTACACTGTGTACAGTACAGTGTACAGTTTACAGTACAGTACAGTATAGTACAGTACTGTACACTGTACAGTACAGCATGATATACAGTACAGTACTGTACAGTACTGTACAGTACTGTACAGTACTGTACTGTAATACAGTCATTCGGTACTGTAACCCAGAGGTCTGCAAGGACTGATGAACTATTATTTTTAGTGTAACTGCATCAATCCCCCCCCCCCCCCCTCCCCTCCCATAATCTAGAACCTGAGAATTGGTGCGATTTCGCTGTCAACGTTGGCTTCTGACTTCAGGTAAGTGCATCATGTAGACTGTAATGAAATTATCGAATATTTTGCTATATTGCTGCAGTATTATAGTAGTAGCGCTGTTTTGATTGCTAGTAAATGTTGTTATGGGAAGTTAAAATTGATAGATTTTCGTATATTGTTACTGTCTGCATAAACGTACGGTAAACACCTCCATTGCGTACTATTTGTAAGCGTAAAATATCAACACCAGCAGCTGTATCACTAGGGGAATGCACTGTATACCAGCAATGTCTACCAAATAATATCATAGTAACCATATCAGTACATTTGCTCAGAGTACTGTAGCAAATTTGGTAAAGCTTTCTTGCTGTTTAAAATATTTCTATAGTGTCTCGTGCTGTCTTCAATTACACTCTAGTATTAACATAGTGTATACTTGTTTACAAGTGCAAAACCGAAGAGCTACAATAACTGAAAATTACAGAATTAGCCGTAACGATACGACATTAACTTTTTTATGTGTTATATACTACTGCTATTTCTCGCTTAACTGTTCAGACTGAAATTTTGAGAACGGCTATTGGAAAGTATTATATAATGTTGCCTTGCAATGCCCCAATACCTACCTATTTACTATGATGTAGGAAAGAACTGAAATCTGTTTTCCTTCTATTAATTTCTCTTTGAAATAGAATCAATCTATGGTAACCAGCATTTTCTAGTGTTGGATATATTTTTGGGTAACTTGTTGATATTTTTGAGTATTTTAACAGTCAATACAGTAATATTGCATTTGGGATTAACATGAATTTCAGTAGGTTAATTTTAAAGTTTTCTAAAAATGGAATCCAGTACTTCCAAATTAATCGGTGCAAGAAGGTTGGAAGGGATGTATGAAAATGTCTGGTGAGTTAGCTCACATAAATTTATGGTGCTAAGCTGTAATGCCATGCTTATGATTGTGTAACTGCTCGTGTATACGCTACGTTACCGGTTACTCTACTCAGTCAGAAAATATATATATTAATACAATTAGAATACTATATTTTTGTAACATTACCTTGAGCTGCGGTAATTAAGCATGTGTTGAAAGAAATTACGTTAGTGATGCTAAATATCCATAGGAAAGGACTTTATTGTACTCGAACATGGTCCTGTATAGGGATTTTATTGCCTGATTGTTAGGCATTCTATTAAAATGTGTGCTATAAATACTTAGGGCTCAATTTAAGTGATAAAACGGCAATTTCATAGCATTTTGTAACGGTGCACAAATTTGTTTTATTAGTAAACATGTAAATAGGAGCTATATCTTTGTCTAGCAGAATATGTAACAGACTATTTATGTTCGCTACTGGGTCCAATTTTACCAATGTTAGCAAATAGTATTAAACAGTAGGTAAATACTCTTATATTACAGGGTAGAATTTGCCGGATTAGCCAGACAGTACCAGCCAGTTAATTTAGGCCAGGTAAGTTCGTATATGTTCGTGGCCTTCATATCTTAAATATTTAATGCGAACATGTGGTTATCAAATTCTAATCACATCGACAAGATGTAAGATCATTACCTAGAAATTACTAAGTTTAGCAGTAACTACACCTATTGCTTTCGTGAACGTGTTTTCATAGTTTTAGTGATCTAACAGCTATTTTGTATGAGAGTGTAATATTTAATGGACAATTTATCAACTACCTACAATTTATTAAGGTATATCATCAGGAATCGAAATATTCAATTCAATATTACCGAATATAGAAGTTTTCATCTTGAAATCTGCTTCAAATCTTACTATAATTCATAATATAGTTGATATTCTATTTCTGAATTACCATGGAGAGTCTGCATGGTTATTTGGAACAAATAATAACAATTATTGTAAGAGGTTATTGTGAAAGCGCTATATAGTGGACATAAACAATATTGTCGTACGTGATATATACAAAATGAAAAGCTCCTAATTCGGATCCAACATTATAACTGTGATATTCTGTGTTCTGATAAGATACATGAATCTTGTGCTTTAGGGCTTTCCAGATCTTCCTGTCCCTCCCTTTCTGAGAGACTCCATGATGAAAGCTATACAAAGTAGTGACATGAACCATCAATATACCCGTGGTTGGGTAAGTGCGAAGAAATGCTGGCGACTATATCAATGAACCAATCCTTTGACATTAGATTATTTAATAATTTTAAAGGGCCATCCAAAGCTTATTAATGCTCTTGCTAAGCTGTATGGACCTTTACTTGGGCGTAAATTAGATCCAGAATCTGAGGTGAGTCACTTACATTGGTCTAGACTGTAAGATATGGTTGCAATTTGATTGTGTTTATCGAATGTTACGTGATATAGATTCTAGTTACCGTTGGAGCGTATGAGTCACTTTATTGCTGTGCTATGGGACTTATTAATGAAGGAGATGAGGTATATCAATACAGAATTTGGATAATCAATGAAATCGTTTTCAGTACTTGATATGACGCTTTAGTTCTGTAAATTATTTGACAACATGTTGAAAATCGCTTACATAAATATATAGGTTATTCTTATTGAACCTTTCTTTGATTGTTACGTTCCATTTGCTAAAATGGCTGGTGCAAAAACAGTTTGTGTCTCGTTAAGAGCGGTAATACACTATAGAGCTCCTTATTGTTGCATTGAATTGCCTGTGAATTGAATTATATCCATTCTTCGGTTGATAGAAGGAAGACGCAAAATCTTCAGCTGACTTTTGCTGGGATGAGAATGAAATAAGGAATGCTTTTAATGCTAAGACTAAGTGCATCCTTCTTAATACTCCTCATAATCCTACTGGAAAGGTAATTGATTGTATTACAGTATATAGTAAGCTATGAAACGTCATCGAATATTATGTATTAGCTACATTACGAATTTGTCATGTTACGCACTAGGTGTTCTCAAGGAAAGAGTTAGAGTTGATTGCTGAGCTATGTATTAAACATGACGTGATTTGTATTACGGATGAAGTTTATGAATGGTTGATTTACTCTGGCTCTGAACATACCAGGATAGGTTAATTCTATATGCAACTGCATGAATTTTAAAATTTGAAGGCTTTTGACTATCAGTAATTTCTTGTAGCAACACTTCCTGGAATGTATGATCGAACAATAACAGTTGGCAGTGCGGGTAAAACTTTCAGTGTCACCGGATGGAAAGTAAACAAAAAGCAATAAAGTTGATCGTTTATCTGTTATTTCGAAAGTTTTAGCAATCAATTTATATTATTCTAACAGGTCGGCTGGTCTATGGGGCCGTCGAATTTGATCAAACATTTACGAGTTGTTCATACGAATAGTATATATCATTGTTCAACAATAACTCAGGTACATTAAGGCTGCTGTTAGTTTAACCTTGTTAGTGTCACTTTGGTTTTATTGAATAAATCATGCTTCTAAATGAAATTTAAAAATCAGGAAGCCGTTGCTAATGCAATAGAGACTGAAAGCGAAAGGCTAGGAGATAAAAATTGTTACTTTCGTCAGTTGCCTAAAATGTTGGAGAGAAAACGTGATAAAATGGCCGTTCTCTTAAAATCTATCGGTGTTGTACCTATTATTCCTGAAGGTGGTTATTTTATGATGGCAGACGTGTCACCACTCGGTATAGTACTATAGCTTAAAATCCACAACTACCGAAATAATCAAGTGCAGTTAGCTATTATTCGCTGTGATTTACGGAGGACTGCTTTAATAACTATAATGTATAATGCTAGCGACTAACATAATGTAGGTATTAAATTTAACGATGGAGACGATACATCGCCGTACGATTACAAGTTTTCACGGTGGCTAATTAAACAAAAGGTATTGCAGCTTACAGTTAGTATTGAAAGATTATAAATCCTATCAAAAAAAAAGTTTATCACCTCTCAGTTTATGTTTATACCGAAATTACTTTTAATGCTTCTGCTTTAGGGAATCGCTTGCATCCCACCCAGCGCTTTTTATTCCAAGGAACATAAGGATCTTTCAAAGAAATTTATTCGATTTTGTTTCATAAAGGTACAGACAAGTGATTAATTTATTTTAGATTGATTTTATTTTTTCTCTTCTAACTAAGCTACGAATTTCTTACTTGCTCTAACTAGCTTCAGAGTTGCGTCCAAAATTCATTAATAGTGAATGTTTTTTGTACTTTTACTGATAGAATGACACAACGATGACGATGGCGGAAGAAAAATTTAACGAATGGGCCCGATCTTTAAAGAAATAATTGTACCATTCATGCCACTAGTATTTTGCAGTGTCTTAATGATATCGAATTCCAGCGGTTTTTTAAAATCATATTCCAATAATACCTTCGGCCGATAATGTACACGTAGTACAGTATATATAATTTATCAGTTATGTTTGCTGTACAAATATGGTACTGTATAACGATAAAGTTTTGGCTATTATAATACATTTGATGATGTAGTTTACAGATGGATTTTAATGTTTACTTTGATCTATTTTGCTATTGCTTAATGAACCTTGCATCAGCTGTGTCAGTCATTCTGAACTTAAGATTGGTATCGAATATGTAGCTACACTACACATGTCAGCAATAAGCTATTACCCCAATTTGGGTAATTTCGTCTGTGGTATTCCTATCGAACTTAGTATCATCTTGTAGGGAAACAACAGAATAATAAATTGATGCGGTTGGATCTTGTTTATCAATTTGTAAATTTTGTAATAATTTTAATTTTAATTTGATGAAGTGTCAATATCAATTTGTCCTAGTGAATTAATTCAATATGCCACTAATAATACCCTTAACAAATGATTATTAATTTAACTCTAATGAGTTCCCGTTTCAATTAACTTGTATTGATCAACTATTCTCATGGGTTCATTCATTAGAAATCATACAGTATCATAGAACTGATAATGGAGCAAATTGCAGTAAATTATTGGTAAATAACTTTACAGATTACTACAGTAGTATGTGTAAAATTTAGAAAATTTTTAAAGACATTAGATCATCACATAACCGTGTACAGTAATAGATAAATTATAGTATCAATTTCAATTGCTATTACAGACCAGCGAAGGCTACAAGCTCGCAACTTTTTAAAAGGGCTTCAGATTCATTTATAGGAAGTAAGAAAAAGATTACGTAGTTACAACAGCAGCGGTGACGTCCCTATAACCAAATTAAAGACTATACAGGTATGTTGAAGTAATAACGAAACCAGTACCAACGAAAAAATTGGTCGTTGGTGTAAAATCTTGCAGCCAAATCCACGAGATGTAGCCCATCAATAAGATCGATACCGCCGCAGCAAAACCCTTTAAGATATTATCAGCGTACTTAACAACATTAGCAACAATTAAACCACCTACTGCTTGTAATATTACCACAATCCAGGTTAGATAGTTATAACCGTAGAAGAAGCCTTTCGCTCTAATAATATGCCAATCATTAAAAAGAATGCCGAGGGAACTGCATAGAATAGAGAATCCACCAAGTTGTAAATTTCTCATCCATAGCGAGACTGCGGAACCTTTTAAGATCATTTCAAAGTAAACTCCTGAGAATCCGCTAGTTAAACAAGCGCATAAAACTGCAATCAATCCAATAGTAGGAGATCCTTGAGCATTTGACGTTGATTTAGACGATTGGCCATTAGTTGCTAACTACAGTTGTTCATACAAGAAATGAGGTTGAGATGATTTCTTTGACATACTCATACTTAGTAAATCAGTAATTAATTAGTACATCATTCATTATTTTATCTTTCAAAGCTATAGTAAATCTGAAGCACAACTGTATGCAGTGTACAGTAGCGTACAGTAGGAAGGCTATTCGTTACAAATGTTGGAAGCGAATCAATCTTCAATCTCATTTCCACTTTTTCAGTACTGTAGCCCAATTTACAATCAACTTGATCCCTATCAACTACATTGTCAGCTCTTACAGGTTGTCAGGCGATATCGTACTGCAAAATAGATTTCCTTTTAACACAGTACAGAGTAATTCACCAGAGTCTGAGAAGCTATGGTAATGTATAAGCACGAGTGATTTCTACATCAAACGCAGTTGTAGAGCATGAAATGACGATTCCTTGTTTACGTAGATGGTCCAGTTTAACTTTAGGAATAAATCTCAATTTTATTCAGCATAGAATGTATTTATACTATAATTTTATCATACGAATACTAACTCAAGTAGTGCTTGATGATACAGTGGCAATTCAATATCCATACATATACAACATTAAGTTATCAAATTACCTGAACTAAAGCTATTCCACATGTGAGCTGCACTAAAGCAAACCATTTTAAAGGATTCAATTTTTTCCCCATCAAGATAACAGAAAATATCGCGGTTGCTAATATCTTTAACTGATAGGTTACTTGATAAGTTGCAGCGTCTAAATTTGATAAGGCTAAAAATAGTAAATTGTTCTGGACAGTGTATAATAACGCCGGTACCGATACTTTAAGAGTATCTAATGGCTTTGACAAAATTTCTCGTCTAATGTTTGAAATCGATTTGGAGAAATTAAAGTTATTATTATAGTGTATCATAAACATATTAATAATAATCTTGACAATTTCAGCTAATAGAACTGCTGTTGATGATAGATAACGCGTTGCTCCAGCTTGACTAGTTCTAGAGTAACGTAAAATTAAAACAAATATAGTAGTCTGCAATGTTAACACAACTAAGCTAATAACACGAGGTGAAAATAGCGTTGAGTTTGTGGCCATAATTCAAGACTCTCGAAGCAATTGACAACTACTGTAAATTAGATTATGGTTAGCAGTAAATTGCAATATTAATAATAATAATTCTAATGAACTATTAACCAAAATGGATGCCGTAAAGTAGGGTAATAGGGTATTTTATAAATGAAGATATCACGGTTACCTGCTAACTACAGTACAAAGACAATTGTCTTCTCATGACGGTACTACAGTACAATATACTGTATGTGCTATGCTGTACTGTAATGGACAGTACAGTACGTCGATCGCTTCCATTTTCTTGATAGTAAAAGCTGTTAAAATTGAAATTTCTTACAATGGGAACCCTCCTTTACAACGATTGATGTTCAATAATGGTAAAACTAAGTTAGCTAACCACCACCATCAAGACCTCCACTTCTTGACTGTACTAAAACTAAATCGACTTTTAGCCATCTGCAAATCGACAGTACAATACAGTACAGTACAGCACAGTACAGTTGTAAGTGCAACGATTGATGTTCAATGATGGTAAAACTAAGTTAGCTAAACACCACCATCAAGACCTCCACTTCTTGACTGTACTAAAACTAAATCGACTTTTACCCATCTACAAATCGACAGTACAGTACAGTACAGTACAGTACAGTACAGTTGTAAGTGCTACAGTACATTGTTCTACGATGGGCTAATCTGAAGCACTGTACTGTACACTGTACAGTACTGTACTGTACTGTACAGTACACTGAGTGTACAGTCAAAAATCGGAACGGTCTACAGTACTGTACTGTACAGTACTGTACTGTACACTTTACTACAGTACTGTATACTGTACTGTACTGTACTGTACTAACTATTGTCAGACGAGCACATACTGTACTAACAGTAACAGTCTTTTTTGGGAGCAAACATGGAGCCACTCGATGGCAAGCAAGGTCAACGTTACTTAAGAATACAATTTGCGAATGCAGATAATCCACTAACCATCATAGAAAACTTCCAAAAGGAAAATAATGTTAAAGTTAGTGAAGAATTCCGTTGTTGCGTTCCGTTATTAGACTTACTAGGAGTACCTAGGCTAGAATTGCATCGATCTTTGATTGATGCTTTGCGAAAGAGGTTGACTGAAGAAGTGGAGAAAAGCAATCCGGAAAAGTTGCAACAATTACTTGCGGTAACTTTCCCTTCCATCCATATAAAATCGATCAGACCAGTATGTATCGAAATCATGAAGCGTTTGCCAAGTTTGCCACAAAATTATCTAACTTTGTTAGAAGACAATCAAGATTTACTTCAAATATTGCCAATCGAAGTCCGACGACAGGTCTGGCAGAATAACCTCAAACTCTTTGCTCTCGAAATTAATCCCTTAATTGACACCTACCTTCGAAGCACCGAAGACTTCATGTTTTCCTTGAATTTCGATAAGCAGCAGCATTTCTTCAATAAAGCACCTCGAAAACGTCGCCAGAATGAAGTATTACAAAAAATAGTAGAATTGATTGGTAGATCAGTGAAATTATATAACACCACCTTACAGATTCTGAGAACGCTCTATTTTAGAAATGCAATTGAGCATTATTGTACCTTACGCTTGGAAATTTTGATGAAACTACACGATAATGATGTTAGAGAGATATTATCCCTTGATCCATGCTATAAATTTGTATGGTGTTTGGATGCTTGCCTACGTGATGGCCTGGTTGATAGTAAACGTTGTAATGAATTAATTGCATTAATGGAAGAAGCTACAAAGGAAAGTGGCAAGCAAATATTGGGGTAAAATTTGAATGAATGACTTATCATCTCCATGTTAATAATGAATAATACTTCCAAATGCCTAATATAGTTGCAATTGAGGCTGATTTATATAATTAATTGCTAAGTAATGGAAAATTGCATTCATTCTATGCTTTCAGCGACTTTGCTATTATTTTAGCGGACCCATTTGTTATCCATGCTTTGACTGGGACTATATTCAGGAGTATTCAGCTACTTTATGACCAAGAATTGCTACCAAGGGTGAGTTTACCATATCAATAACCAACAGTAGTTAGCTTATGGGTTTATTTGTAGATAAAGTAAGTAACTGCCGTTCGTTCAGCCTTACAATTCTGTAAAGTAATTATTTTGTACTGGTTGCTATCACGCATGCTCTTGTGGTAGTGATGATCAAATTTATTAGTTCTTATTTGCCTGTATAAAGCTAAATTGCATGACCATTGAGTATCCCTATTGATACGTTATATGATGAAGATGTATGTCTACTAATTACTTTGCTCACATCCACTGCTTTATAGGATGTTCCGTTATTGCACTCGCTACTTAGACTTTTATCGCTTGGACTCAACGCTTCGCAAATGATACATCGGCAAGATTTTGCCGAAATTGATATTGTAAGGCTTAAGCAAAAGAGATAGTTAAATGAATTAAAATATGCATTGAAATGGCTATCTAAAATAGTATCAATAATCATATAAATGAGATATATCGCATACAAGTTGGCCGCAGTTATTTCTGCAGATATTAACAGAGTAGATTATGTGGCACAATCTAAATTATGAAATTTTACTAATCTATTATAGGATAATGTTATTGTGCTGCGATTTATACCGACAATTATGCTGTTAATTCACTCTCTGAAAAATAATGGTATATGTCCTCCAAACATAGACTTAGACTTTTTCTCTTCGTATATTCATGAAAATCCTATTGCACGTCGGATTGCTTGCGAGCTTATATTACATTTGTGTAATAAACATAACCTGAGCGATCTAAGCCTCTTGCTACCAAAGGTAGCGCCCGCTTTTAGAACTCCTGATATATCCGATAACATCTTTTTGCATCTATTTATTTATCAACTGGTAATATCATTTCTGGAAGAACACGGAAATGATGAATTTTATCAGACAGTATTCGAAGAATTTTTTCTGCAATGTGAAAATGTCGATTGTACCAAACATATGCTACGGTTGCTGTGGTTCAATTACAGAAGAATGGCATCATCCAATGTTTCTATTATACTGGACTATGTCATTTCAAAAGGACTTGTAAGTAATAGATATAGTTAAGTTTGGGACATACCGTAATTGCTATATTACATCCAAGCATTAATAAACACTAATTTAAGTTACATGTTAGTAGTGTACATCATTAGTGCTTAGAGTATCAAACTATAATCTTGGTTGCTACCCAAATCAGTAGTCACATTCATCTAAATGTATGGTAACCTTTATTACAGGATGATAAATTTACCAAGGATGTATGTCGTAGCATGATGAAGAGTTTAGAAGCGGATAAGCTAAGGGCAAAATTTTCAGAGAGAAGATATTCCCATGGTCCTACTTCTACATTGATGGATGATGAATTTGAATAATACTTTCTAGTTGTTAAGTTATGATGGAATTGAGATAGGTTTTATTTTATTATAGCATATTATTCTATATCTTCGTTATCGATTAATTGATGTTATCTAACTGGAAGTTTACTATTACATCAAAAATTAATATAAGCCTTTGTTACTTAAATTAAGTATAAAATCTTCCAATTGGATTGTAATATAGTTTTACGTACAGTACATTGGGCTGACATTAACTCCTAAGATATTGCTGTATGAAACGAAGTATTTACTATCTTCTCAACTTGTACATATGCGTATGTAAACATGGCGCTAGTCGTAGATTTCTAAATAGAATGATTTGCATCCATTATCTTCAAGTGAATCTAAATCTAAAAATTGAAGTAATTACTTAAAAAATTTTAAATTATGTACAGTACTGTAATTTATGCAACGCGCCTAGATATGTGAATATTCGGAATTAATGTGTCATGTTTGTGAATAACTTTTCATCCTTTGAGTAACACGGAATATTTGTGAATATTTGTTAAATATAAGCAAATAAAGTAGTGCGTACTAATGATGATAGTCGCGTTCACTAATGTGATTATTTGATACGTGCCGTTAAATAGATGCATAAAGTCTGTAAAAATTAATTGAAAACATTTTTCTGTTACCATACTATAATTATATCCTGAAGCTAAATAACCATTCTTCATAGACATTCCGTGATTAGTGAATGATATTATGACTGAATAAATTTGCCCTTTCACCTTAAATGAGACCACAAATGACATTACAACGGTTAATAGAAGCTCATAGCGCGGCTGTTACTGATAAATCTGGTTGTAAATCGTACTACATTTTAAGGCATTAATTAAAATATCTGCTAACTAATGATATCTTAAAATACTGCAACTTAGAAAATGTATATGCCTTAATTGTTTTATGTTCCAACATAATTTAATCACAGTACACATACTTGCTATTAATTGTAATGGCTGCATTTACTTTGCTTGTACTGTAGGGATAAACACAAGAAAACAATTTTAATCGAGTATAGACGTATACTGATAAGGTGGCTGAGATAAATATTTCGAAGTAGCTTTTGATAAGGTCGTTACTTAAAATTCGCTCGATCTGCTCGCTAGCAGTAATAATAAGAAAAAATATCTTTAATAACAACTAAGACTAACTTAGTAAATACACAAGTCTCCTAACCCAAGGTAATCATTAGCCTAGTGTTAAAAGTTATTAAGAAAACATCAACATCAAGATAGAATCAATGTTTTCTACATTACTTAGTGAACTATCTTACTTGATTGTATTTAGAAAAAAACTACCAAAAGTGATTATTTTAGCCTTATGTGCGTTCGGTACTTAGTTTAAATATACAATTAATCATTTTATTATAAATAAATAAACATATTACAAAAAAATTTCTGACGATTAAAAAAGAAAAAGATGCTCGTACATCTATAATGATAATCACAGACCAAGCTTTTATCAAGCAACAATCATTTAAATACATTGTAGACACCTTCGTACTCATTCTTGTATTTATTAGTAGAAAAGCAATATATGAATTCTAAATTGTGAAAGATACCGTATCAGTGTTAGAATGATAAATCTATTACAAGAACAGGAAATAGGGTAGCAAAATTATAAAGTGCATTTATGACATGGTCTTATTATATTTTTGCCAAGCATTGTTCAACCACAGCTCGTTTATTCGGCGGCATAGCAGATAATAGTTCTTGTTTTTCTTGATCAGAAACAGACTTTGGATTGTCTTGCAAACGACGCATAATATCATTTAAATTAACCTTAATCTTGGTAGTGGGCGCTGTAACAGCATCACTTCCCGAAGAAGACGGTGTATTAGATCTCGAAGACTGAATGGGTTGTCCTACTCTTTGCGTTTCAGCAGTCTTACCAACAACTTGAGAGTCGGCGACGTTTGAAGGGGACATTTGTTCGCTGGTAGATTGAGAGGCTTGAGGAGATTTCGTAGTAGGCTGTTGAGCTTGTACTTTCTTTTCGCTATTAGCTGGTGGCGAAGCTGTAGATACTTTCGTGGCTCTTTGCTGAATCTGTTTTGGTCCTTGAACATTTGACTGGCTTGAGGTAGGAGATTCTGGCGAAGACTGAGCTGCTTTTTCCACCATTGCAACTGTTCGGATTTCCGATTTTGACGGATTTCTAGCTGCAGGAGTGCTAAATTGATTTTTCTTCCGATTGTATACACTAGATCTTTGCACTAGACCTGACGAGCGGCTAGCAGAAGTCGCTTGACCAGCTACTATAAAGCATAGAATCTTTAGTTTCGAATTAAAATATTCGAATATTTGATACTTTGATTCTCCGATCACAATCAATTATAATACGGGAGACATGCACATCAGAAAAGTATGAAGTCAAATATTCATTCTCTTACCCCCTGCAGATATGTAAGGTAGTAGACGCTTCATTGTATCTTTCGCCTATAACCAAATAAAAATTAAAACAACCATTTAATTTTCGCGAGGTACTCATTTTACGTTCATTAATACCGGAAATACGGAAATTATACTAGTCATATCCACTAATTAACTATTAAAATCTAGTGGGATTTGTTGTTTGTTAAAATATAGTGCATGTTTATAGAGATTAAGTACATTTTACGTACCATATTATTATTGTGAACGTTATGTGATGATCATGATGTGTAAACAGCTCGAACTGTTGCTAATGATTATGATCATCGTCATACAGTAATTGCTATTAGCTTAGGCGTGAACGCGATCAAGCGTTTACTGTTTCGTTTAAGATGAAGTTACATAATGACTTGTAGTACGACAACTAGACTCAATTTATATTATAGATTGAACCTAATGTATTGTGCGTTAATCCATGACAGACTATGGTATTTAATATTGAAATAGTTGAAGGATGCATTTATCTCATATTAATCTTTAATTTCTATCAAGTTAAGGTAGTATTCACGGTCCAGTATCCTTTTAGATTTAGCAGTTTAGATATTATTTAGGTCTATCTTAGAATTGGTTTTTAAAAGCCTTACTTGATATAATTCAACCCGTAGATCATTACTCAGGTCCTTATAATTAGTTGATAGGCTTTTAAAATATGCTATGGCCAAGCTAAACGATGAAGCAAGATATAATATACCACGCCAGTTATAAATATAATGAAGCATTTTACGATTATTACTCGATATTGTATCAAGCTTACCATAATAAGATAATAACAGGAATGATAACATGGGCGCTTGTTATCTGTTCAAAAATAAAGGTCAAGGCCCCGCTATCAGGACTCCTAATGTATTTATCTACGATTAGGTTCAAAGCGGTCGCATTTCCAGTTATATTGGTGTTAGTTAAGCTATTATATGAAATATAGACATAAAAATTACTGATTAGAAATATTTCCTAAGGATCTAAGTGCACCGAAAATATGTTTCTGAACGTAGTTCTACGACATGCTTTGTACAGCGTTTCATTTCTTATTCAATTTATCGTAACAAATACCGATATCTCATAGAGAAAGAAAAAAGTGAATATATAAGACTTACTACACTTGAAATGGCCCACAATCCGGTGATAAGGCAAAGCTATACCAGCAACATTGTAAAATAGAATTAAAATGATGGAATAACCCGTGAGCCTGTATTATCAATGACAATATTTCATATCTTGTAATAAAATACGGATAACAGAATGTGTTTACATGAAGTAATAATGGTTGTACAGTATGTACAATTCTACCAAAGACAATCTATAACTTAGAATATTAATCGAAATAATTTACATACTTGGAAATGATAATACCATAGAAAATTGTAGTGATAAATAACATCAAGAGACTGATTAAGTAATATGTGCCCAGAGTGCTTGTAGCTGTAAATACTGTATTTGGCAATACGGTACATGTCATAACCGACCAGCCTTTTAAGTAGAATATCACCAAATTTTTAAATAGAGCTAGGATGGGTAAAAAAGGTGAAAAAAACATTCCAAGCCTGATCCGATTGCAAAAACAAAAATAACACAATAATTACAAAATAGATTTCGATAAATCATAATATTTGGTTAAGTTAGAACTTGCAAATATTCAGCTTTCTTTTAATAAGGCAATTATAAGTATTTGTTACGGCATCAAACTCCAATCGAGTATTAGTAATATAGCAATGTGAAGTAGCATCAAATACAGTTAAATAAATACATATTTACGAAAGAAAAGCTAGGTATTTATTCGGATCTAAGTTGTTGCTCTTACCAAGTTAAGCCTTGCGAATAAACGATTTGTAAAATGCTTTGAGCCACAGTAAAAGTCGGATAAGGAGGCTAATTGATGTTAAAATTAAAGTAATTAGCACTGCTAGAAAACGATAAAAATTCAATTTTTGGTGTAAAGTAACTGATTTTGTTTACTACTAACTTAAGCAAAGATAAACTCGCAAGAAAATCGATTGATACAATGATAGTACCGCAATTTACTTTATATATGAAATTATTCTTAATAATAATTCGAGTACCGAAGCGAATTCAAAACTCAATTAAATACAGCATATTTACAGGAAACGTAAACGAAATTAACTACGATTTAAAATACGGACCTCTTTTTTTGTTCGGCAAGCTGGTAAACATCGAACTAGTCCGGCTCTCACAAAGTCACCAATTAATACCCCACTAATAACGCTAATTAGATCGATAGTTGAAACTTTAAACAACTCTTGACCAACTGTACTTTCCCAACACTTTCCAATGTTTTGGCTGCCAGATGCTAAGCGGCATACCTCTCCCGGTGCAAAGAAATTTGTAAGCTGAATGGAATTTGACTAGCGATACAAAATATAAAGTGGAACCATATTACTAATTACATACGATCTATTTTTAATATCCACTTGTAACTGCTTTGAAAAATTTGATATATGCTACAGTTATGACTAATTTTTACACTGACCAGCGGAGTTACGGAAACAATTGATATAACCAATACACTTAGATTAAACAAGTACATGATCATGACCCTGTAGCAATTAAACAAAAGTTTAGAATGAATTTTTTATCGTATTTGAAGAGTAAATAACTAAGCAAGCAAATCTACTTTCGGATATTTTACAAATGAAGAAATAGTTTCAGTAAGCCAAATTAATTTCTATCTTATGCATGGTATGATTCTAGCTCAAATTACGATACATACTTTATCCGGTATTCATAGATTAAAGATTTAGTTCGATACATATAAATGAACATGATTGGCTTTCATTCAATTACCGAAATATTTTCAGTTTCAATTTTGTTTGCTGTTTATAATCCTCAAGGGTAGAGTAAACATCGAATAGTACTGGTGAAATAGCGTTGCATAGAGCAAGTACGATGGATACCTATAAATCACAAATTTCGACATACTTTTAACTTTATTAAGGTTAAATACTGCTATTGACTATTACTTAGATAATTACACATATAAAATAAGGGACTGATTAACAAGCTATAGAACAATGACTGCAACCAGCTCTTCTCTCACTCAATTGAAGGTCATTATTTCAAATATAACATTCGCTATTTTGAACCGCAGTAATTATGTAACTAACCAAATATCTCACGATTATATTGGTATGATCTTTTAAGTTGCACTCGTATTGAATTAGGGTGTAAAGAATAAGTGTTCCGCATCCTAGCCATGTCATGATCACCAATAACCATGCAATAATCCTTCGGATATATTTTATGAATCTAATTTTTCATTGTTTATAAATTTCTTAGACAGGCACATTTACGCAATAGATCAGCATGAATATTCAGAAACTATCAAGATCAGAATTGCATATGACAATATAACTATAGTACAGTATGAGATTTCCAAGACAAGAGATTAGTTAGTAGTGTAACAAAAATACCGGTGTAAAATTGATAACTCGAATATGTACTACTACAGTACTTACATTCCATAGTTTTTGCTCTCTCGAACATCTCGTAAATCTCCAAGCAATTCCTGCGTAGATTTATTTTTTACATTACTTAGTGCTAGTAAAGCAAGTAGTAACTCCATATGGATTACGTATTATTACGATCGAGGCCTGTAATTTTAAAATATCTGAATGGGATACTAACCGTAAATTCTGTCCTAAGGGACTGTTTCTTTGAAATGGCATTGCCTTCGTTATTAATTAAGAAATCCCAGTTAGTGCACAATTTCCATATAAAATTGAAATTAGTGCTGGTAACTATCGATATCTTTGTCGTCTTCTTTCGGCTTTGTGCAATTCTAGAAGTAAATTGGATTTAATAGACTTGATACAATCGAAATGAAAGATAGTAATGTTGCTACGACGGTACTTGTAGCCATGAACAACCAGTAAATGCGTAAATCGGTATATCGCTATATTATTTAGTAGTCTATGATGCAGTAGAATACAATGGAAACTAAGGTGGAAAATATACAACATAAAACTATCAAATACTTCTTTTTAAATACTAAATGCATCACTAGTTAGCAAAATTTCCTATATTTTCAATAACAATATTAAGGGATCAAAATTTATAAATGGTAAACCTTATTAACAAAAACGCGTAGCTGAATATATAAGCTCCTGTTGTAGTCAAGAAGTAAGCCAGCGGCAAATTGTATCTTTCAATATTTTTATGCGGAAAGGCAGTGTAATTGCCAAAAAAAAGTATAGAATATCGAATAGGGCCCTAAAAAACAATACAGCAGGTTACTTCTATATGTTTACTAAGAATTGTCTATGACGTTACAGTATTCTCGTAAGGTAGGCACTGATGTCATAAATTCCCGCTCATAATGGTCACAGCTACGCTTTATAGAACAAGAGTATGCTAATTGGAAGTATTTCTTCAAATTAAGTATCATTTATGTACCTGCTAACATATATATTACATCTTATTAACTTTAATTTAGTGATATTAAACTTAAAATGCAATTAAAATAGCATATCTTAACACTTTACTGTATTTACGGTTTCAGTGATCTACATGCAGTACTTATCTGAAGTTTATTAAATTAGGGTTGCGATTTGCCCAACTATAGAATATTAAAATTGTAAACTTACCTGAAAGTTAAGTACAGTCGCTATTCGATCATCTGTAAGGGCAGCAGCAGGAATAGTTGTATCTGTTGTATTAAATAAATACAGCTACAAATTCAAAAATAAATTAGAACTTTGAGCACAATATTGGTGGGAAGTAATTATATGATCTAGTTAGTTTGAAGTCCTTATAAGAAACAATAAACATAACCTTATATTTATTAAATTAGCAGGCTAAATTTTTATGCAAAACTCCCTATATAGGCATTAGATCGGCTAAGAAATGACACTGCTAGCAATTTTTGAATAACACGATCATGTTCGTAATACGATTTAGTAATACCTTTGGTACAACGACAAATCCCACAAAAAAGAGAGAAAGTACAAGGTTAAGTAAAAACACTCCTCTTACGAATATAAAGTAAGAGGCTACAATAGAACCAAAGAAACCTAGACATTAGCAGAAGAAATTAAATCGCCATTAGCTGATCGCTACGAAAGCTTACTAAATAATGGTATAATCCAGTTATAATGTCTTTTGACAGCTAGCCACTTTCATTAATTTTATTTTATATCAGAGAATGGATTGATGGAATAGAATAGAATATTTCTAGATTCAGTTTATATTTTCTTGTTGTAGCACCTAATGTTAATCTATTGTAATGACTAAAAGCAGATTTCAAAATTCTAATAAAATTAGCAATTATAAGTATTTTCTCTGAATATCATTTTCACTAACTATGCAGTGTGATATGCTGTATTTTGAATTACAAACACTGCTTTGAGTAGTTCCAAAGCGAATGTTATTGTAGTTACTGTGTTGAGATCATCAATTAGCTAAAGTAATATTAACATAATGTGGTAACAATAGCCAATCTGACTGGTTATAAAAAATATTTAGCCCCTGTTAAATGAACTAGTGTTAGGTAACCGTAAAGTGAGGACATTAAGTATCTTTGTGATAGTAATTTACATGACTACTATCAGTACAAGATTAGCATCAAATCGATGTGATCTGATTAGAATTGAAATTTGCGAAATTGGGTTTTAGTTGCTAATGTTTTAACTTTAAGGATAAGATTTAATAAATGCCTTATAATTAAGCGCTGCATTACTTCTAATATGTTCTAACATTTTATATATTTTAGAAACCACATTTAGAGTTATAAGCCACAACTACTATATCAGGTGATTCAATCAAAAATATTTTGGAGAAATGTATGCGTCGACAATAGAATGGATTAGATATCCTGTATCTTCAACGGGTTTGATCGAATATCTACATGTATCATCAGCTTTGAGCTACACTGATATATAAAGTACTAAAATTTAATGAATTAAAATCAATATAGAAAAATAGAAAGTATCGTAGCTTACATTCTATAGCTTTAATCCTTTCGCGCCATATTTTGTACCCAAAGAGCAAGTTTCCCAACCATCGAACAAGCTTCTTACCCAACTACAAAGTATACATAAAAATATAGACGTAAGCAATCATCGCAGCTTAAGGCATTTATGAAGGAAAATTACAGAGTTACGGTAAAAATAAACTTTTCTATCATCTAGAAAATTTTAATTATTATAAACAGATATCTGCAGTATATATTTTCTTTTTCTTGAGTAAAGATAACATAAATTTCTACATACCCCTCTGGAATATTGATAATTCGCTGAGTTACGGGAAGTACTACCGGTTTGCTTTTGTACATAAGATTTATGTAATCTAGTGAATAGAACATATTTTAAAGTTACCGTCACTATATTGAGAATTGAAAACTAAAACAGTTATGATTTCGATTGCTATAGTGAATGGTTTAAATATTATCGATAGGGCTTTTACATTTATCTGATTTTTCTTTCACTAGTTGGCCTATCTATCTATCGATATATGTTAGTTGTTACTCGTATAGATTATTAAAAGTTTGTTGTTTGTTTTTTAGTCGAGTAAAAGGGAAACGTAGCTATAGAATTCAATCAAAAAATATCAAATATTGTAATGGCGCATTTTAATTGTGAAAACTATTTCTCATTGATTATATTATAGGAATGTAATAAGTAAAGGGATGAATCAATCAAGATATTACCCAGTGATGTCATACAACTTACTCTAATAATTCCTCTTTCTTAGCATAAGGCCATGGCAATTCTTTGACTATACTAATAATCTCGTATTGCAATTCCTTCTTTTTCAAAAGCAAATCATTGCTATCGAGGCTATTCCAGTGGAAGATTGGTTTTATATATTCTTCCTCAACGCTGTAACGATTATTTAAAGTAAACATTATTTAATCAAAAATTCGAAATAGATGCTGTACATTATAAATTTTAATGCCCTGTTTATAAAAATTAAATTATAAAGTTTATCAAAGAAAAACTTAAGACGATCAATCACTAATTTGTTACCGCGTAAATGTAACAAATAAATCTGACGCCCTTTATAGAAAATCAGGTTTACTTTTATATTTTTACCTTTCGAGGTTGCCACTATAGGGCCTTCTTAATGCTTTAATAAGGAATCCCGGTTGTAAAGTTAGCAGTTGTCTTTCTTGCTCACTGTATCGGTCATCTAGAACGAGGGTTAAAGTTTTGAATATAATCATAAAGTAGAATTACTAAAGTTATAGTTATTATGGTAATGGTTTAACATTTTTACTATCTAAGCTGTGCTTGATAGCATGAGTGTATCGCTATTTATAACACTTTTTTAAGTCTGGGCTACTGTCCTTCAGGAATATAAGTGATACATCAGCAGATATTAAACAACACTTTGCAAACCTTATTAAGATATACAAGCGCTTACTTATCCTACGAACTTAGTATCACCTTATTCATAACTAGCCCTAATCTAGTTTCTAGATTAAAGCTAAGACTAAGAGGTAATTAACTCTAACGAAACGTTTTTATAGTAAAGATAAGTAACACCAAACTCTATGGAGAACATCTCGTAAATCTTTCATTAATAAGTTTTAGGAAAGTTTTCAACTAATAACGTCAAGTTGACATTCCGAACGGATTTTAGTAATTGAATTATTGACTACTACTTCTAATTTAAATATCGATAGCTATAGTCGAATACAGAACGACAGGTAGTTTTCATCGAGCAAACAGTAAGGCTTTGCAACGTGATGTTTGCCTTACAGGAAATTAAAAATTTGGTAGTTGTCTTGCTCTGTGGATTGAAGCAAAGCTAGAAGGAATTTTTGCCTCATAGTTTAATAGTAAGAAATTATAGTTTTAAATGAAATACTAGGATTGAAAGATATCAGTTTAAAACCATTGCACCGACACTAAAGAATTAAATCATCAAATTACAACTCTGAATTTTTTATTGTAATCAATGATTTAAATTCAGTCAAAATTGCGATATAGATTGCTCATATAAATAAGATTTTATATTATCATAGAGATTAAGAACAAAATTGATAATATCTTGATTCACTATTTTGTTATGAACGAGACTTGACAACTAAAACTGACGCAATGAAGTCGCTACTAGTAAATTTTCTTGTCCGCCAATGTATGTCGGTGGCGGTTATCGCAATATAATATTTAATGACTGCTATCAGACTTTAAGTAGGTGAAAACACAAAAAAGTCCCATATATGATAGAGGGTTTGAAAAGTCAGCGGCTGTGAACTTAGTTGCGATTCACGGAATTGCACAAGGGAAGTGGATACTTTATTGTAGACAGTAACTAAGATACAACTTAGTAGTTATGGTAGATGAGCATGTAAGCTATCGCAAGTAACGTGTGAAAGTACTAATACTGTGGCTAGTACAACTAATGATTTCTAAGGTAGAAATCGGTGGCATTTGTAGCTTTTAAGATAGAACACATGCAGAGAACAGGATTGTAAAATTAGATACAACGTTTACCAAAACAGACTATGTAATAGCAAATGATTGTAGAAATGGTAAAGACTGTAAGTGCTATAAGTAACTGTTGTAAATACAGCTAGCCAATTTGAATATGGTGCAAACAGGCTGTAAAGATATCTATGTTTAATATGTTTAAGAGCTATACGAAAGGTCTATATTAAGAATAGATTATAGTTACAGTACAGTCTAAATATATTACACTGTATACATAAATCCGAAACAGGTATGATAGAATTTCTGAATTAATTAAATCTTCGTCCTACTGTTTATTCTGTGTTAAAAGTGATATACTCCTACGTTCGGTTTAATATGATCGATAAATGGTGTCAAGAATATTATAAGCATCTCTATCATTACGTAATATAAGTACTGTGTTTGATAAAGTAAGGCTTAATTATTTTAGAATATTTAACAGAGCATCGTAGTTTATAAAAGTTAGTGACTATTTCTCTATACACGTATCAGTTATAATAATACGAAGCTTATTTTCCGGCTGCAAAAAACGAAACTTAATAGAAGTTTGCCCTTTATATATGTATTGAGAAATGAATATCATGCTTACGTGTATTACTATTAGCAGCGAAATAAAAAATCAGTTTATTATAATTTAATTTTCAGTCTGTAGGGCAGCAAAAACCCAATGAGCATTCTTTAATTTTAACATTGTGTACAATAATTCTGTTTAAAACATACATTTCTTAATTAATCTAAGTAAATCTGAAATCGATTTACCATTGAAGTGAACTGATGTTTGCTAGTTTCTGCTTATTAAAGTAATTTTTGCAATAGCTGTATTAAATCAGATTGTACCCTAACTAAAAATAAAGACAGGGCTTACGTTTAAGAAATGAAGTTTTAGTCTTAGCGGAACGACATTTGAACTTGCAATACTTGAAATAACGTTACAAGTACTCCGTATACGATTTTCTTGATGATTACGAAGCTTTTCTCGGTATTTTAATATAATTTTATTCGATATTTGGTGATGAATTTGTGAAAATATCACTATATCGTGTTTATCAATTTTTCGTAACTTGTTAAGTTAACAATAATAAATGATCATGTTTAAGTGGAAAAACTATTTTTTTGTACATAGAAGTCTTCACTTATTCGCGATTGGAAACAAATCTAGTTGGTAATACTTTCTCAGAGTCGACATTTTTTATTATAACTAAAGCTTCTAAATTATTATGTCTTAGCTAATTACTATTCTAAAATAAAACAATTTACGTTACCGAAACCATCTTCTAAATCTTCCTGATTTCTGCTGCTTGCCATAACAAGTACTTTGATTAGCTGTTATGAAAATTTTGATTCTTTGTAGCTACTACTTTTTAAGTATTCTAATGACTTTGATGAGTTAAAATGTCGATGATTGTCTAGAGGAGCCAATTTATGGACGCAAAGACTGTTTAATGCAGTGGATTACGGGAAGTGATAATCAAAGTATTATTTTTCGAAAGTGGTTTTCATTTTGTGAATTACTGACTGATATTGATTGGTTGGGTGCTTCTATACTAATTAACATACAGACACGGAAGGACGCTTACGTAAAAAATATAATAGTAATACATATATGAGATACGCCTGCTATTGTCTATATAGCCCTTTATATACTACAATCTAGAATATAGGCTAAAAATATGCAAGTTTTATATCGAAAACAACTCACCTTCGCTGTCACTTATTTTTGTGGACAATCAATAGTAGGTAGCATCCTTTCATCTGTAATAGAATAAAAAAGGAGTACGGTTAAAGTAAACGATATTTATTAGAAGGTTATTGTCAGATTGAACATTAAAACCAAAGGTAGTGACGTAGAAGGTTGTACTGGATAAGAGTTCTTTCTTTTATTGGCTAATTACTATTTGAGAACTAACAATTAGACAATATCTTTATTAAACTTATGTACGGTATCAAGTACCGCGCCATATTGTCTTTGCACTAGAGTATTAAACGAATATTCATACCATGGACCATTACGTGCTGTTGAATTACTTTCGAAAGCAAATCATTTCAGATTATTATAATTACGCAAGCTATTACCGTACACTATGAGATCATACGATCCAAAATCAAATGATACTCATGCTAGTTCCTAGGCACTATGCAGCTATAGTTTCGTATCCTCTTATACCGCACCGGTTGTGGATTTAGATTAATTAGTTTAATAAATAATTACTATCTAAATCGCCAGAGATACTTTGTTCGATAGGTGTCTACTATAAGGTGATTGATAATTATAATTATTGTTAGTTAGGTCAATTAATTATTCTTGTACTGTATGTAATATAAGGAGTTCGGTATGTTTACGAAGCTATGACAGGTAGACCTTCAGTGAGATCAAGGAAATAAACCTAGAATCTTAGCGTAGGCAATCAAGTTATTCATTCGGACAGAAATGAGCGCGAAGTTCTCGGCAGAAGCGGGAGAGGTTGATAACGTTTTACTCATAGACACTAAGATAATGAATCAGGTGATGGAATCGACAGTTACAGATATACACCAAAACTTATAGTATATGCGTACACTACGTGTATGTGCGGTACGATATTAGTGGTACATGCAATACTATGAACTCTAAAAGATATATAGTAGTTACAATTTAGTGAATTTACAAATATCTCCGTATGCTCTTATACAATTAATTATTACTGTACCTTGTAAAAATATTATTTAGGGCTGCAACAATTTGCCTTTAAAGTATTTCGAAGACTAGTGACAAGGCTCTTATAACTAGTTGTTCCTGTTTTTATTTCGCTCTAAAATAACATTACGGTATTTATGTATGATAATAATTAAGTAACTTTTATTACCAGTGTTGTTGCGCTAGATCGTACGAATGTATTACTTAGGGTACCCTATTCGAACTTCCACGTTCTTTTTATATGGTCAGCACGTTCAAAGTTTCTTAAATTAGTAAATATTAACTATTTGGTTAAGGATATAGATGGATACAGTAATGGTTGTAATCAAGAACATAGGGTATAGCTTACATTTTTACCGTTTAACACCAACAATGACATAAAATTAAGCCTAATAATAGGTCAATAACTTTACTTTATCAAAACTTATATCTAACATACAGTATGGTGATATATGAGTACCGCTACTTGTTATAAAATTGTAAGGAAAAAACTATCTATCAGAATGGATATGTTGTAAATTAAAGGCCAGCTTCATCGCTGGGAAGTTGCAAATACGTACTTTTACCATGGCTATAGACGAATGAACTATTAGATATCTTACAATAGTCAAATTTTAACTAAAGTGAATCAATGCTTGGTCTGGTATTAATCATTGGAAAACAGTAATAAATCGTAAAAAAACGACATACTCATATTATGGGTACTATCACTTGCTAAGAAAGCTCATTAATGATCAGGATTGATTCATCCTTTATTCTGTAAGATCATTGTAAATGCGGAAACTAATACATTCCAATAAATAAGTTATGTTATCTTTAGATTTGGTATAAATAGTTTAAAATTAGTAATTATAATGATTAGATATAATCTCTGTTTTTAGCTAATCAATAGCTAACAGCATGTAAGACCAAATTACGGTCAACCATAAAATTTTGGAACTTGTGTTCCTTTGAACCACTTTCATTCACTGTGACGATACTCATATTGGAAAAGAGTACTAACTCGCTGTTTTAAGTTAATCTTTGGTTTTCGATCTCTTAACTACGGTACTACTGTAACCAAAGGCGTAGTGTCGGAATGCGTTATGAAATCGTTCATTATACATGGATAGATCATTATAAGGAATAACTGAAGAAGAGAATTGCTATATTTTAAGATATACATTTCTTTCATTAACCGATATTATAGTGAATTATCTAAATTAGTTTAAAAATGAAATAAGGAATACGTGACGTAAAAACGTAACGAAATGACCGACGTGATAAAATATTATCGTGAATAAAAGCTTTGACATTAGGAAAATTGATTTTATTATTAGAAACGGTACCTATGCGAAAGTGTAAGTCTATTGGCAGTAGCTGTTGGTTACGTTATTGTAAAACTGAAATAATGGAAAGGGAATTAAATATACTGTACATCCTCTGTTGTAGGTTCAGTAAACCACTCAGGCATTATCAAGACAGTGAGTGAACATTAATAGCGGTGTTTATTCATTGCGAAGCTACTGGGATCCAGTCGTAACACTTAGGTGCAAACACTGAATTTTGACAAATGAAGAGAGTAAATCAACAGATCATTGCGAACTACAACATCCTGAAACTATAGTAAGTGTGTGCTGAGATTATACGATAATGGACGTAATAACTCCCTAGTTTAAAAAGTGCAAGTGAAATGGAAATACAGTGATCATATCATTGCCTCATTAATTATGATGCCTGGTGCTAATACTACTACTATTTGGTCTTTGGATGGCAAGCATACCGTATCATCGTTCTACATAATGAGCCAGACTCAATATCACATCATCGCTGCTAAGGCAGTATACGCATATATGTAAATCACCTTGCTTTCGATTGATTATTATTTGTTGCTAAGTAATTGAAGACCATTAATGTTTGGAACATGCCTGTGTACCGACCGGTAGTGCATTCATACCGTATACGTTTACCTCATAACGCACCTTCAGTGTTGTACATTTGCAAGCAAAGAGCTTCCATAAGTCAAATCATTATATCTCTGTTACTGCAAACAGATACACAAAATTACTATCAAATTATTTTTTTAGACATCACCCTCGATAACTATTACGAAAAAGTATTCTGATACGAATACAAGGTCGTACTCGAATTTTACTTTCAATTTGATCTCAATACAGAAAGAATAGAATTTCTAATATCGCATGTGCAAAATATATTAAACTCAAACAAAATTAGAAATCAAGGTAACGTTAAAACCAAAGTATGAAGTAGACTAAGCTACTTGTACGTTCACTATTTTAATTTAAATTCCATAATGACAAGAAAATTTTAAACATGACACATTCGCAGCTACTATAAAATTTATATGCATGATAGAGATTTGCTCCTTTATAAATAATTAATAAGGTCAGTTAAAACCAGTTAAACTGTAAGAAATGATTATTTAAATGGTTTTTCAGCGAAAATTTTAATAAAGCATATTAGATATTACTGGGGATGCTAGTTATTTCCGCATTTTGGCTTTATATTTATAATACATCTCAGATACTGCTTGTCGAGCATTCGTGGGCAAGGAATTTAATACACGTTGCATTTCTTCTCTTGTGAGATCGCTAGGATTATTTTTCATTCGAGTCATCAAGTCATTTAGTGAGTGAGACGAAGATGACGTCTTTGCTTGAGCTAACTCAGTTTTAGTATTTTCTCCCGATCGATTAGGATCCATAGCTGATTCAGTTAGGGATAAACTACGATTAGTCGTTATGGATATTTGATCTGCTTGTACAGGTTCGCTAATTTGGGTTTCGTCAACCGTGGTATTTGGTGTATCAAACGGTGGAGTAGTTGACAAGCGTTCACCACTACTTATGTCGTTCAAAGCGGAACCCTTTCCACCGAATGAATGAAAATCTATCTGCAGAGAACTTCTTAAATTTTCGGAATCCTGTTGATCACTCGCTGGTGTATTAGATTGTAAATATCTTCCATCGATAGCAACTAGGCTTGATACTTTACTCTTTTGTCTTATTGCATTACTTGAAAGCTCTCTTTTTCTAAGTTTCTCTGTATGCAGATAATGATATGAAAATGGCCCCAATTTATTATCCGCCACGTGTATGCGATCTTGATCTAAATAAGAGACAGTTCTGTAACGATCGCCATAGTATGGCTTATTCTGAACTGTTAAAATATGAAATAAATAAGTATTCCTTACTGTAAGCTGATAAAAATTTCAAATAAGAACATAGCAAACTACAGGGAAGAGTTGCATAATTATATCTTAAATATGGCAAGCAAGAACTCCAGACAAAACGGTGACATCTTACTCGCAAGCAATCTCCTTGTATCGCTAGACACAGCCTAGAATTCATATATATATATATATAGTAGATATTAATTTCAAATCAGCACTTTATGTTTAAATGTACGATTATATATTAAAGCGTCTCAACCACAATATCATTATTTTATTTCGATACTGCCTAATTATAATGTATATTAGCAAGATCAAGTATTACAACTAGATGATACGAACCTTTTGTAATTGTACTCTTAAGTCATTACTAAGAGTTTTGTAGCTCGCTGACAAATCACGAAAGTATAATACGATCAGCCTGTAAAGTATTATATAAATTTTATATAAATTGAAAATAACCGCAAATGTCAAACTAAATACAATTGACTGTCATCATAATGGTGCAAAGGCCCAATCATAATCCAAAATAAAATTATACAATGAAATATCCTGACAAATTCATCAGAGCGTTTTATCATACGCACACGAGTAAGATTATAAGTGGAATAATAACGAAAGTTTGCGTTATATATTCGAAGAAAGTGCGAACGCCTTCTGGGCTTCTTCTTACAAAATCATCAATAATTTGATATAAAGTCATTCCAACGAAGCTCCTTTTATGAAATGAAATAAAAAAATCCATTGTTTTTAATTAAGAGCTGCTAGAAAATTTATATCGTTATTTTAATTTAAAATTTAATTAAAGTAAGCCGATATACTTCGAAAAGAAAATTCTATAACAAGTATCTGGCAGCAATTTACTATAACCGCTAGTGATTACATTTTCTCACCTGTATGGTCCACAATCTGGAGATACAACGATGCTAGTACACAAATAAGGCAAAATTAGTGTTTTGAAGTATTTCAATATACAGAATTCAAAAATCGAAACTAAGTTGGCTTTGGCGTAATATTTTTTTAGGATAAGAAAATCACAACTTTCATTAGTATTAATTAAAACGGAAGAGCAAGATCGGTTGTACGTGAAAAACTCTACTAATAATTATTAATTAATAGACGTACTTGGTTATTGAGAAACCAGCTATAAATGTGGTGATGAACAACATTACCAAGCAAATTTGAAAATAAGTTCCTATAGTGCTGACTGCTGTAAATGCCGACCTTGGCGCTATGTTAACAGTCTTTACTGACCATCCACGAACGTAGAATATTATTCCACACTTTACCATAGCGAGTGCTGGAAGTGCAGGAGCAAAAAAAACGCCTAACCTTCATAAATTAAAGATAAACTCTTTTATTCGTAATTTTAGTAAAGAATTATGATGATTGTATTCTTGATAATTTATTGAGTAAACTGGTTACCAAGCTAAGCCTTGACTATAAATCAACTGCAGCACGCTCTTAGCAAGTTCAAATTCTGGGTAAGGAGGGGGCTAAAAACAAATACAGGATACAGTCATGCAGCTCCAGCAGCATAAATGGAAACAGTGCATTTTAAAATTTATTGTTATAATTTTGACTAAAATTCGGCTAGCGCACGTAAAATATTAGAGCATTTTAAAGCAATCTATAACAGCTAAGTCCTTCAGCCGTATATTGAGTAATTTAAGCTATAGCAAACTCTGAGTTAATTCAAAATGACGTATTGTCTACATAAACTGGAATTACTGTTTAGATATTCACATTTTCGATTGTACCATCACGCAAGCCAGGAAAACTGCGTACGAATGCGGCTCTTAATATTTCGAAAAAAATTCCAACAAAAACGGCATAAAGATCAATCACGGAAACTTTCATCAACTCTTGGCCTACTGATGTTTCCCAGCAACTAACATTCGACGATCCGATAGTTACATTGCCACAAAATAATGGATTTTGGGCAGTTCCTGCCTGCAATCATGAAATATATGTTACAGTTATTCCTAAGACTATGCATAAGGGCAGAAATAATGCTAATTTCTTCCTGAATCATTTTAGTATTCCTTTAAAAACATTTCGTAAAAGCGATTTTATGTGCAGAGTAACTATAAGGGCTCGTAATTCATAGCGTTTACTCAGTATAAGTAGTAGATTGCTTACCACCGGCGTAAGTCCAAATAATGTAAACATTAGCACGCTCATGTTCAACAGGTACATTACCATAACTCTATTATATGTAGCAGATTATAAGGTTTATAAACATTCTAGAATTACATCACTATTGCAAACAAATTTTCTTATATCTGTATATTACACTGTTTTCAATAATTGATGAAATGTTTTAAATTTGTTACAACTTGTTAGTACTGTTTCAAAGACCTTTTGAAAGCTAGATTTAGTGAGGCATTAAACAGAAATATATGTAAACTTACCTAAATAACTTAAGTTTAAGTTGTGTTCCAACCTTATAATTCTCAATTTTGGCAAATAAATCAAATAAAAATGGGGCAACTATATTTGATCCGGCAATTACTAGTGATACCTATAAAATCATAGTAAAACTGCAATAAATAAGCAATAGCATTCGATGCAGTCATCTTCTAAATCATGTTGCAGGATCATTTCGATTACCATATAGCGGATAATAATATTGTTTGTATTTTTAAGGTAGCATTCATACGCCCTAAGAGTAAGCAGAATGGCAGCACCACAAGCAATCCAAGTCAATAACACCAAAAAATTAGATATGATACCCATGATGATATGAATAATACTGAAAGAAATTAATATTCCATTAAAATAATACATCTGACGAAATGAAAGTACGTATTTTAAATATTTCTATCTAAGTGCAGAAAAATTAAATTTATTAAATGTGCAGCGTAGTAATAATTGTAATTACAGAGGCCTGGAAGGTTTGTCACGTTCTGTTACATCTCCAATATATTCCTAGTAAAGAAATGCACAAATGGCGATAGAAATCAAATGCTTGCTGACTTTATTATAGTTTAAATCTAGATACCAATCAGCTTCCGAAACGTTATTAATCCTCAGTTTACGCGCTAGGATATACCAATTTACGAATCGAGTATCATAAATTATAATTATTGGCGATTCCGTTAATACAATAAGGTAGAAATACGAGATGCAAGAGGCTATAGAGCTCGTTAATACTCTGCTAATTCATACCCTGAATTGAGTTTTGATAGATTGCTTCTTCTCTGATGCTGAATTGGCAGAAGTAATCAAATAGTCCCAACGTGTAAATAATTGCCAAGAAAATAGATAATTGGTCCTGGAAGATATGGTTTTCCTATTCGTTTTCTGACGGTGTCGACTAATTCTGTTGAATGTGTATTTATGTTAGTCCTAATAAGTAAAAGTTTAACAAAGTACCAAGCTTACAGATCACGTGCAACTACTGTACCTGTTCAGAATATATACATAACTTATCAAAAGAATGCCAATTTGTGCTATGAAATATGCTATGCGCATATCATAAACGTTTATGCTGTTCTTTGTACCTATAGGTATAACACTATAAGCCCCGTAAAATAGGAAAGAATAGGTAACCGGCCCCTAAATTCGATTCAGGTAAAGTGTATTAGTCGGATGACGATGCATTTATATAACAGATATAAAATACCCTTTGCATAAAAATTGATTTCAAAAATTGATAAAAATACCATAGAGATCTACCAACCTGAAAATTGATTACATTTTCAATCGTATCAGCTTGCAGGGCACTATATGACGTTGACGGTTGAGTCCATTTGTATAAAATTAACTAGTGTAGATTCAAAAGACATTTACAAATATATCTTATACAGTTCAAAAGAATAGAAAGTAACTAAAGAAAACATTTTAGCAACAATTTAAATTTATTGTGAATTATTATATGAAAGTGTTGTTTATTAATAAAAACTTCAAATTAACATATGAAATATTATTGAGGCTGCTACCTGAGGAATCAATATGAATCCAATATATATCAACGACAGAATTAGGTTAAGCAGAAACAAAGATCGTAAAAATGTGAAAAATGACGACACAATGGATCCAAAGTGACCTGGAATATACAGAACGGCAGTCAAAATCATGTTGTAAATTTAAGCGCAAGAACAGAAATACAATGTTCTACTGTATATAGAAAAAGCAATCCCTACTAAGTCGCTTAAGTATCATAAAAGGAGCATTATAGTTGAAAGCTATCTACGCGTAAATTATGACGTGCAATATAGCAATAGCAGTACCTTCAATTAATTTGATTCGATTTTCCCAGACAACAAAATAATTGAAAAAGCTTTTAATGCTACGGTAAAATTTTATCGTTCCCTAAGCAATATCAATAATTATGCAAAATATTACATCATTAGAGCTATCATTAAAAGTTATAGGTGAGTAGAATAGCCTCTATGGTTACATTTGGTTGCAATGTGAGCATATTGAATAATCAAATAAAATTGATGCACAAGATATTTTTGTGGCAGCTTAAACATTATTTTTACGGTAGTATAATCTGTTGGTTACTATTCTACTGCTCACAAATCTATAATTTAGTAGAAATAGTTTTAATATACTCATTAAATTATAATAATTATAATAGATTTATAGTACGAACCGTAGTTCTAGAGATCTTGGATCCATGAATGTCGATTACATCACTTGAAACTGCATTCATGAATTCAATATGTTTACTATTATTTATCAGTAATGACATGATAACAGAGATCAGAAAAGTGTTTTAACCGTGGAAAAATAAAACTTTGATCATATTAGTGGTATATACGTAGGCAATACTCGAGCTAAGAAAGTCATAAGATCACACTAATATACAATACCACAAAATCTATTTATCTTACTTCAAAATTTCCATCTTTCTGTCAATTGGCCAAGGTAAGCCTCTAATTTGACTAATAATTTTGTGCTGTATTTCCAATTTTTTAGTAAAAAGCTTTTCACTTTGCCCATCAGAATATTCAAATAATTCCCAACGATTTATGAAGAGGTCGTCAACTCTAATTGAGAACACAAACCGCAAGTCAATAACAAAAGCACACAATTTTACAGTTAGTATTGAAGCAGCAAGAGAGTCGATTATGTCATGGAAGTCAGTAGTGCCTTTGGAATACAGTCATATTAAGATTAATTAAGTCTGGTAAACAATTGAATACTTATATTTTTTAATCATCTCTTCGTATTAATAAGAAGAAAACTTGGCTTACCGACACCTCTCTTCTTCACTTGTTGCGGACAAGTAACTTTTCCTGAAGTAATCTAAATCAAACTCTTCCAAGTAGTTCAATAATTCCGATTCGTCTCTTCCAATAGTAATTTCATGCATCGTAGCCATTTCTGTAGTAATTAAATTAAAATTCAACTTGTTGTTAGTAAAATAAAGCAACGATGAACATGCTGAGTGCGTAATGTATCATGAAGATAGAGCATTTTATAATTGAATTTGAATTATGGTATAGTCTGTGTCAAAAATTGATATTTATGGTGAAAAGTGATGAGCCAACAGCCTGGTCTGTTTTCCTGTAGCTGCTGTTCAATTGATACTAATAATCTTCCAGGGTTAAAAGTTGTAATAATTCCTTATTTCACCGTGCTATAGCGACTGCAAGTGATGTAGATTTTTTGTGGCTAAGTCTTGGTCCGCCCATACATTCGGTTATCCATTTACGTTGCATAAAAAGTTATTAGTAATCTCTTATGCAAAACAGCATATAAAAAATATACCCATTTCTAATAACGCTAATGCGTTATCAGCCCAAGTATCGCGAAGTGAAGTAATATTATTACATCTCGTAATTATTAAATACTCGTGCAATCCTGGTTACAATCGTTGGTAACTTATTTTGTGTTGTAGATGTGATAAATAAATATTAATTAGTGTTAAACCGGGTTTAACGTGACATTGAAGATCACTGCCAATTTTATGCCCACCACTAACAAAAACTTTCGCATCATTCGTGAATGTCGATTAAAGCAAATTATTTAATGTAATTTCGCGATATTGAATACTTTTTTGTTAATAATCTTGCGGTATAGCTAATTATCCAACTTTATATGGCTCTATTCGTGGGATATTGCGGCTAAAAGTAACAACACGAGTATCGCATTAAGTCGTTCAAAATTTCGCTCGTACTATGGTTTGCTCTCAACACATATCGTAGCAAGCAAATTTTTTCTCAGTACCGGATTTACTCAGCCGCTGTGAACTGATTTCATTTCAATCCATAACAAACCTGCTTATTCTGCTGATAGATACCGGAATGACTCAAGTTCTGTGTCATAAACGCTTAATATCTCATCGGACTGCACAACTTCGGTGTCCATAATGTAGCAGCTCACTGACTATGATAGATTAAAAAAAATTGTAGAATTCGGATAAATGCTGCTAAAGTTAGTACATACAAGGGCAATGCTTCAGATTTGGCCATATGCTGCCAAACTATGTTAAAAACCTAGTTGTAAATTACAATAAATTTGACCGACGGCAGTTTAGCTAATGTGAATGCAGTAGTTATAATCACGGCAAAACATAATTCAAAACGCAACTAAGTACTGCTATAATAATATAATATAGTCAAAACTTTAAGAGTGTTGGCTTGAATATTGAGTGTATGTTCGTTCCATCCAATACTTTATAATGTAATCGCCTTTATTGTGATCATCGTAGCGAAAAGAGACAGAGACACAGTTACTGACAATGGGCTTTTATCGCATTCACTGCAATACAAATAAAAATAGTCAGAAGGGAAACGACATATCCTAAAGCAATTCACAATTAGAAAGAAAGAAGGTATGAATATGCAAACGATAAATTGTTTCAATGAATTATAGTCATTGTTAGTGCACGGTAAGTAGTTAAAAGCACGGATTGATTTTAAAAAAATGAAAGTATCAAGTGCATTATTGTTTTCATAGATGAAATAATTACAAAGGGTTTTTTAATCTTTAGCCATTGCCATTAATTGTATCAATAGTATCCGTATAACTTATTTATAGTTAAGATCTACTATATTGGATTTATTCACGAGTATAAAGTGAAAACTGTAATAAACGGCTAATACTGAATAGCCCTCATATGGTATTACCTTTCTAATGGCTTGCAAGCATGAATGCCATGACTACAGCTTACAAACCTACAGTACAGGCTGCACAGCTATCCGATGACAATCTAGCATACTTACTGTACTCAAGAAGTTTCAAATATAATATCTATATGGCAAAAAAGTATGCCGCTTAATTACACGCATTCCAATATTACTGTGGAAATGATCACCCATTGATGACAGAATTGCACCATGCTGATTCGGTACGTTAAGTAAATGAGCAGGATTAAAATAGACGAAATGTGTACATGCCTGTGCAGTTAAGTGCTACAAAGGATAATTATATCAACTCTCTTGACAATAATCAACAAGCTAGTTAATTAACTGAATTTAGCGCTGTGCTCCATTGACTTCATGCTATGTTAAAATCTCCTTGCTTTCTGTGGTGTACCCTCTGCAGTACTTTACTGACATCTCGAACATTATGACATCGTTTTCAATGTTACATTTTCTGATGTGTGTCTTTCACATAGACGGTATAGATGTTTATTTAAGAACGGATTATATCATAGAAGTCATTTTAATATACAAATAGTGAATGGTCACCATTTTACTTTGGGAAGAGTCAACCTTTAACCGCAATTTTACTTGGTTACCCAAAGGGACAAAATATTGGCATGATGTATTGACTGCACGAACACTAACCTGATGTGGCGGCAGGCGAAACATTGTTATACACTGCCATTAGTAATGGATACGCAACAGATATAATTCAACGACAATATGGAAAGATTTTCTTCAAGATCTTGTTCTCTGTTAATTGACTGGAACTGAAAGGTTTCAAATATTTTTTTATTTATGAAATAAAAATAGATCCAGCTATGAAATAGTGTCAGGAAATGGAATATTGGTAAGTACTTTTTCTTATATGAAAAATATAAGGTAAGTAACATTTTTAAATGTCAATTACAGCAATGACGTAACTGTACTGTACCGACCGATATACAGAAGGATGGGAACGAGCATGAAAGGCAATTAAGGTTAAAATAAAGCACTAGCGTTTTAACAGTAAATAAAATAAAATAAATGAAATGTTATGTACACCCAAGTAGTAAGTTCAGTACATAAAATTCATGTTTATGTCTTCGGATAATAATTATCGTTCTCGATATTGATCAAATTAATAGTTACTATTTGCCATGTAAATGAAATGAATCAAATTGTAGAGTGCAGTTAAAATGGCGTGCAAATAAAATTTCTGTCTAATTGATGTTATGCTCAGTACACAGTCATCATTATCGATGTAATATTTTGTCAGTGACCAATCGCACACTCATTCAGTCATACTGATTGCTACCACAGCACCACTAGACTCAGCATTTTAAAATGCATAATAACAGCCAGTTGTAATTATTGAGCCGGTCTAAAAATAGTGCTATTATCTAGTATCATTTGATTTAAGCAATAGCGAATAAGTAGTTGAGGGAAGAACTAAATTTCAGTGATGGTAGATATAATAGGAGCATGCCAGCCTGTAGTGCGATTGTTCAGTGAAGTTTCATCAGATGAAAAAATCAGAAATTGGTAAATCTTTCTTAGGCTATGTATGCTTCGTAACTTTTGAAAATTTCCGTTAGACTTTCTTACGAATAACTAAATAGTTAACTGCAAATTATGATTCAGTATGATGTGATTGATAGGTGTAATACAGCGAATGGCTGGCTATATGGTAGCAAATGATATGTCGAGATTTACTAGTATATGTCTAATTATGTTTTCATCAGGCTGATTCTTTGTTGATTGTATATGACTATGCAATTAACATAGCTGGCTTGATATTATGAGTTTTTATTCATACCGGGCTACTAATAATAAATTAAAAGTTTAGTAAATTAATTATCATACTTTATTTCGTAAACAGAAAATAACGGAAGATTTTTACTTGTACCAAGTGCCTAAGAAAATAATAAAAATAAGAGATACCTTACATTAATACTCTATATTACGGTACTAAAGCGTTAATAGAACATGATTCTGATTAACCTATTGGAAACGTACAATAAACAGTTGAAATTTCAAATAGCAGAATGTCACTGTCAGTGTTAGCGATATATAGAATTAAAGTTTGTTGGAACCAGCTCGCATCTGCCTAATAAATATCTAACTGATTTTACTTACAATTGAACTTATTGCAAAATTGATGAATCAGTCTCATCAATTGTTGTCTCGAAAGTATTTTATCTTGCTTGAAGGAAGTTTGTATTTGTAATTTTTTCTATTTATAATCAATTATCGTGAAAGTCTGTTACATTATCATTAGATATTGTAATAAAAATTCTATCGTAAATTTTCTATTAAGCTGTTTTAATTTTATTGAAGTCACTGTTATTAGCTATATTTTAGATCATGTCTCTGTAATATTTGCTTTGTAGACACCACATTAAAAGTTAAGACATGCCACTGATTTTATCCATCATATAAAGCTAAATATTCGATGACTAAAAGTAGCTTATAAGTAAATCCTTATCTGATACTGCTATGAGATCAAATTTCTGAAGCTTCACAATCACTGTAATGGTATATTTTGCAATACTATAGAATCAGTAAATGACCTCATAGAATGACCTCATAGAGGTCATTGCCATAAATCCATATTTTTTATGTTACATTCATAAGTAGAAAGGAGAGGAAAGTTAACCATATTCTCTGTCCATAATTTAAGATCATTTACTTTGCATGTGATTGATTAGTCTTTATTCTTTTTAGAATTTTATGTATAATCTCATCAAATATTTTGATTAATTTAGTAATCAAATGCAGATAAGTATGCAAATAATTAAGAGCTCATGCGTACAAGTATGTGAACTGCTTAGATACTATAATGCCACATTATGAACTTTAAATGTAAGTTTAGTTTAATTGTGATTGAAAAACTTTCAATAAATTGGTTCTACTAAATCATGTTCGCAGACATAATCTTTAAGGAAATTAAGTATTGACACTATTATAATTATCATAAGGTAATCTCTCCATGTTAACTATTTTGAAGTAATACATCACTACAATGGAAATGAAATAACCTGCAATAAAGCTATAGATTGACCTCCGAGATATGATCTTAAAAGGCTTTTCTGCATCTTAAATATTTATTAATTGCAGGATGATATGATGGTACTGCCTTATATTACTTAAGGTATGGCTAAAATAATATAATATGGAGGTATAACGCAGGTAATTGCCTAAATATCTTGCGTGATATTGGTGTGATTAAAGTCATTAATAAACAAATTATGTATACTTTGTAAGACGTATTATCAATCCAGAAAAAGTATTATAGTTGATATTTGCGTAATTTATACGTGACCGACATAATGTAATCTTCTACCAGGAAAGGTAATACTTTATTGGTTTTATACCAGCAGTTAAAATATCCTAAGGACTCGGTTTGATGTACGTGTCCTGCAGTATTCTTAATTGGCTCTTCAGTGTATAATTTACAATAGTTTAAAATCTTGAATTTTCGAAAGCATTAGTCTTTGATGATAATGACATAGCTAATTTAGTTTATCCGCGGAATGAATATGTACTTTCGCGCCACATTAAAATTACTTATTTTACATTTCATCATGCAATAACTATAGTACCGCACAATAGGCCAAAACAAATACATTAAGGACTAGTTTTTAATGATATTGACGTAGCTAATTTAGTTTATCCACGCAATGAATATTAACTTTTGCACCACATTAAAATTACTTAATTTACATTATATCTTGCGATAACTATAGTACCATATAATAGGCCAAAGCAAATACATTAAGGATTAGTTTTTAATGACGTTGACATTGCTAATTTAGTTTATCCACATTGAAATTACTTATTTTGCATTATATCATGCGATAACTCTAGTACCGTAGCATAGACCAAAACAAATACTTAAAGGATTATGAATGTTTCCTTTTACATAACTCAATTGTCTATCAGTATGCAAGTGTGCGCATTAAATCTTAATAGAATATCGGGTCGTTTATGCTGTAAGACATTCTATAAGATAAAGTATTTACCAAGGAGATAGTAGCCAAAATCCAAGAAACTCATCTGCAGAGGTGATAGCTATGATGGAGGGTTCGAAGATTCAGCCGATGCGGACTTAGTAGTCATTCTCAGAAATTACGCAAGGGGTTTTAATGAAAGCAAAATACTTTATTGTTGATAGCAACGGAGGTACAATGCGGTAGTTATGGATTTAGCTTTTCAACCAACTTGAAATAAAATCATCACAAAACTAAGTGCAACTAATTATTAACGAATAGGGCGACTAAGTCAGTCTTGAACAATGGTGCGTCGCAATTATATAATTTAGTCAGCAGTAACCTGCTGTTTTCTGAGTTTCATAAATGTCTATGTGTGCTGTCCCATTTTTAAATAGGTCTCCAAAATTATCATATTATCATGCAATATCGCCTTCTGTTATTGTATTATATCTTCCTCTGCTATGTCGTTTCTCATGATGAATTACGTTTTATCGAATTACTGATACAACCTCTCCTATGGACAATTCATCAAGGGCCCTAAATAACTCATCATAAAAAGTTACTGTACAATTTAAGACTTATTTACCGATTAACTACTCAAAAAATCAATGCTAAAAGAATGTAATGGATTTGAAGAAAATTATGTTTACTCAACGCTTAAAATAGTTTTAGGCAAATTACAAATAGATGAATTCTATAATCAAGCAAACCTTGATTACGTTTTCCCTATTCATATAACTGCTGTACTATCTTCGTTGCTAAAGAAAAATTTAAGCAAATATTATGAGATGCAATAGATTATTTACTTTATGCATGGATTAACAATGTAATGCGATGATATAAATACCGTTGAAATTTGTAACTATCCACATTCAACCCACCAAAATACGTTGTCAATGTAAGTATATTAAGTTGACGAGCTATTTATACTTCAAAAAAATATCTGTAAAGTACCACGAATTTTGAGTTTAAAGTAACTTAAAAGGCAAATCCAGAAATACTAATCAATCTAATTAAAACCTTAAATTGGCTTCACTAAAGTTCGAATAGCTATGATAACGAATTTAATTTAAAATCTTTTACCGGAATATATAGTATGAAGACCGCTATCATCTTTTGCACTTTGTTTGCCTTAACTCTCGCAGGTAAATTTCACGGAAATCATAATATTCAAATAGTCGATAGTAAGATATTAAGGATCTAAGTTGTAATCTTTATGAAAACTGCTGCAGTACATCCATTTTCATTGTGTAAATCTGTAATATTCCCTTCTAATTATATTTACGTGAAACGCCGACAGCTCCTCCAGTCCCTTTCGACTTGGAGGACTCACCTGAAGCTGGTTAGTTTGTCGATATAACATTTTACGGTTGCTATGTAATCCTAATATAGATCCTTATACAACAGATTGATAGAATTTTTTATCAGTAATAGCTTATGGTTAGAATTGTTAATTAATTAATTATTTATCAGCATTAAATCTCCTACAGTACTTGTTTATTAATTATTGAAGTTCAAACTGTCATTAAACATACTGGAACCGTTCGCTTTTCATATCAGTAAGCAAGTAAAAAAAATTAGCATGTTTTTAAATTAGTATTTTCCAGAGTTTGCCGCTATCTTCGCCGTTTATATGTTACAATAATTATCGCCATAAATATCTATTACCCCTAAATAAAATTATAAAGTTTAAGCCAGTCTACGATATGCTAGCTTTGAAGCAGTTAAATCTTTGCTGTTAACTGGCAGTGTTAATTCTAACGTATCGACGTGACTATCATCATATTTTACCCTATCTACGAAGGCTATAACGGTAATAAAGTTTAAAACATGTACCGTTGTTGCAAATGTTCATTATTTGATATAATGTAATAATCTTGAATTATACCGAAGTCGAAGTCAGGCCTAAGTTGATGACCTATCCTGCAAGGAAACGTGGAAGTGGTACAAACAAAATCGTGAATGGCAACGTTGAAAATCGAGGTGATCATCCATACCAGATCTCTCTGCAAAGACGTGGCAGCAGCTGGTACCACACTTGCGGTGCTTCCATCATTAACAACCGAGCTATTTTGACAGCCGCTCACTGCGTTGACAGTGGTTCCGCTTCAGAATATAGAGCAGTCGCTTGTGAATACAACTTGAAGAAATCGGATGGCGGTGAACAAACCATTGCTGTCAGCCAACTGTAGGAAAACGACATATGATATTTTAATGAACTTTGATTAGGTTTAATTTGAATACACCATTTAGTAATTTTAAGATGAATAATCCCTTAATATTATAATAAGTACCTTTCTTTGTTGTCATACTGCGTGCATAGTAATATTAGAAATCAATTGTGATAATAACATCTTCAATATTTCCACAATATTGGGTATAAATAAATGCATAAACATAGGAAGTCATCTTCTATCATTTTGTATTTCACAGTATCATCCACGAACAGTGGAACCCAGCTGTAATCAACTATGATGTTGCAGTTGTAAAGTTGGCCTCGTCAATCACCTACAATTCCTATGCTGCTCCAGTCGTATTGGCTACAACCACGCCTAATGACGGTGTAGACAGTTGGGTTACCGGATGGGGAAGGACTCAATACGAACCCGCGGTAAGACCTGACATTTTACAAATTATGGCAACTGAAAGGGAAAGCGATTACTGGGGAGATAGAGAGAGCAGTATCTACGATGAAAAAACTCAAGTCGCAAGTTACAATTATAACAAAGGCATCTGCATGGGAGACAGCGGTGGTCCACTCGTATACAAAAATGGCAACGTATTGACGCAATACGGTGTCTGCAGCTACGTCTTGACCCGTAAGTTCTAGTTCTTTATCAATTGCTACGTAACTATGCGATGAGAAAGTCACTGATATGATAACTCATAGACTACTTATTGTAATACGAATAATTAAATCGATTTCATAGCAGCTTATGAATTTTCTAATCGAAGTCTTGTAGTATGAAAGGGATATCCAGGCAAATTACTAACATAACACGTTTCAAAATTTTCTTACAGCCTGCGGCAGTAGCAAATCTGACTACTATGCACGAGTATCTTACTTCAGAAGTTGGATCCTAACCAGGGCCTAAATTTGATCAAAGACACATACCGTGTAATTAGTTACATTAGTAAATTTTAGGTGACTTTAAACCTTCCTGTAGCATTTATGCAATACACAAATGATTTATTAGGTGGTATTGCTATAATTTCTTAGAAGAAAAAGACATCATATGGACTATGATCCGTTTGATTTCTAGAGTTAACTAGGAGTAAATCAGCTTGAAATCATAATAGATATCAGCAACGAGATTCTAGCTTAATAAAAGGCATATTTCAAAACTATTAAACATCTTGTTTCTTTTTGTGTGCTTTATCTGCTATCATTTATAATTAACTATTGCCGGCAATCTGAGCACCATTTTAAAAAAATTCTTCTTAACTAATAAAATAACCATACGTATGTGGACTAAACTAGTAACAATAAATCATCTGCAGACATAGAAAATGTAGTATGTTATAGTGCATGTGTACATACTCTCTATTCAATCAGCCAATCTGTAAAATTGCTATGAACCAATCATGAAATAAAGATACAGTATCGATAATTCCAATAATATAACCCTTTAATGTGTCCATTATTTTTATAAAAGTTCGTAGGTGTCTAACTAAAGTGAATATTGATTTGGGTAATATAGCAATTCAATGTATAAGAGTTCACTGAGAGCAGCTTGCAAACGAATATACTCATAAGAAATGAGTAAGTATCTTTAATTCATCAAGTTTTCATCTTATGATATACTCGTAAGAATGATGTCTACGATCACGTATTGGCTGAAGATTGAATATGATAAAGCCATATCATCAGTTTGAGACTAATATAGCAAGATACGCGTATAGTAAAAACTGGCAACTTATAACGAGCTAAAATGATCCTGCTTGATCTTATATACGTTATACGCATATAACGTAAAATTTTATTGGTGGACTTGCAAGAAAATTGATGTCATTCGCAATAACTTTAATTAATTTATTTTCGCGGTTAATATACATTTACATATTTATCGTAGTTTATAAGCAACAACGTATAATTATGACTAGTTTGGAACTATGATATTTCTGCATGATCTACATTAAGGCATAATGCAAAATGTATAAAACTATTTTCTACCACGCAATTTATTTACATATGTTCAGCAAAATAGAGAGAGGCTAAAGGTCATTAATTATGTTTAAAAACAAATTAATAACTATGCGTGACCGATATTTGTTCTACTAAATCATATTGAAGGTCATCTTTGCTTTCTATGACTTATAACAATAACCTTAATGCAGATTTTACATATGACTGGTCGCTTGAAACCTGAAATACTATCCATAACCCGTATCTTTTGAGTGCTATCAAAAGGTCGAAAGCTAAATTTTTTTACCTTCAGCTTTTGAATATTTTAATTAGTTTGTTTCAATAATTTATCAAGAATTTAAATAGTATAATAGATATAATCCATTAAGTCTTTTATATTATGTAAATAGATACTAATGATCCGAATTGCTTGCATAAATAGGACTTCAAATCATTGATATTATGCTATAGAACCTGGCCCGATTACAATATTTACTTTGCAATCCTTTTAGTTCTATTTGTGAGGGCGTATTTCCTTACTTACATTATTGAAATTCAAATGAGATAGTTCCATCCGTTCTGTAAATAGTTCATAACTTTATTAGTATTGACATAAATTACGATTTACTTAAACTAATAATCTTAATTTTATCGACGTTGAGAAAAATCAGTTAAATCTCTATCTACATTACCAATATTCACATAATCACTCCTTAGTACTCTTCAAGATAAGACTGACATCTTAACGAAGTAGAATCCATAAGGTATCATTCAATATGACTAGCTGTTATTTTTACTGTTTTTGCTTAAAGTTATCGAAAAATGATTAATTGACAAAAATGATGTTATTACGTATAATATTCTTTTCTTTAACTTAATAAATTCTCTACTTACAGCGAAGCTAGATATGTTACTGATATCGTAGTAATAAGAGTAAAATTATATCTTCAGTAATACTCCACTGTAGATGGAATGATAAGACTAAAGACCAAAACTAGCAATGATATTTAATGTAATACTGCAATAAAGTATTAAACTGAGAATTATCGACAGCTGATGGATAGTGCAACATAATCATGTTAATTATAACGTCTACGAACATTCTAACCATGTGCTCTTTGATAGCGAGATACGCAAGCATTTATCGCTCATTTGCCTAAAAAATTCGACATAAGTGAATCTCAATATGAAAACTGAGTAAAGATCTATTAGTATCTAATCCATTAGTTATCAATTTTTTTCTAAAAGCCGTCCATATAAAATTTATAGCATTAGTAATAAAATACACATATGTGAGTATTTATATATATCCTATATACAGACTTAATTGTTCTACGAGTATATAGTACAAAATTATGGAGACTAATCTGTTGTTAATCTTTCACTTAATTCAATAGGTACAGCTTAGAAATGAAGGCCCTCATCATTGCTCTCGCCTTATTTGGCTGCGCTTTCGCAAATGTCCTTCGGTCGGGTAAGAAAGCTATAAACCTAATTACTGCTTTGATAGCGCATTATTTAGTGCGATACTGTCAAATTCTACCATAACTTTATAACATCGTTCGTTAGTGACCTTTTCTGCACCTTAAACTATGCTGATAGCGAATTAATTGTACACTCAGAAGTCATCTTTCGTAAGGGATGACTGATCAATTGATTAGAAGTGATATCTTAATTTTCTAGCAAAATGGGCTTTGCCATATATAAAATTGAATATTCCTACAGCACCTAGGAGATAAGACGAGATGAAAAATATAATAGAATTCTTAAAATTGTATTAGTTATGCCTGTACAAATTTTATGATTTATTACCTCTATAGGATGTAAATAAGATCAGGACTAGATAAATTTTGTATAATACAATTGAGTTTGTTTCAACTAATTGTAAATATCATCATAACTAAGAAAAATTATAAAATTATAAAACTGATATGTTTAACTTAATCAAATATGGTAATTAGTTTTTTGTAATCACAAAATAAATATGAGGATACTGCATTACAAGGAATAATTCAGAGTTTTATATACTTCTTTACAGTTTCTTGTAACAAAATACGTTTGCATTAGTAAACGGAAGCTTCTAATTTTAATTTATTTTGCTAAGGCTATGATAAAAGAAGGATAAAAGTGTATTTGAAATTACGTAAAAGGGCAGCAATATTTTTGTCATGTTAACAAGATTTTGATATTCGCGGACTCTCCTTTACAGATTAACACTTTAGCCATCATTATTGCAATATGCGGCATAATTTCTTGAACATTAGGCACCCCAACTTAGTCATAAAATTTTTCGTCACCTTCCGATTGCGCTACTTTATATTTTATGAACACTTAAAATGTCTCTCAATATATTAACATTTTTATGGCCAAACCACACATAACCGTGACACTCAACAGCACCGTAAATTATTTACTGTACTGCAAGGTGTGGAATATTATCAGAAATCTAACGTAATTATTAAAATTCTTAACAAATTCTGATTTGTTGCAACTTTAATGCTGAATTCATATAGATTACCTTTATATTCTACGTGATAGTACATCGCGTCCTTATAAAAGTATTACTTATCGTGTGTCTGCTCAAAAATTATTTATGAGCCAAAATTAAAGCAGATCTTTTCATCGCCCATTACGCGATTTAAAAATCTGAAATATGGTTTAAAAGAAAGTATTTGGAGCGTATATGTTTGTTGCGATTTATACCAATTTTTGTAAGCAGAGTCTTAAACACCTACGATATACGTACACCGTTACTGTATGATTATTTTTGCTAATTTCTTGATTGACAATGAAATGAATTAATAATTGATATAGAACCTGTTGAAATCAGGCCAAATATAATGACCTACAGAAATGCTCATTATCAGGACAGAATTATCGGTGGTACTAACGACGTTCCACATGCTCATCCATATCAAATTTCGTTGCAAACTACCTCAAGTACTGGAGTATGGTATCACACGTGCGGTGGTTCTATCATCGGCGATGACACGGTCCTAACTGCTGCTCACTGTGTTGATTCCAAACCAGCTAGCGAGTACAGGGTTGTCAGTGCCGAATATGATTTTAACAAATCGAAGGTGTTGAAACTACTATCTATGTTAAAGAACTGTAAGTAATAAGAGAATTTTTGATTGTTTATTGACGATCTTAAATACTATAATGATGTAAACAATGGTAGCAGATCAAAATATATTGCTGTAAAGGCGAGAATGAAAAAACTTATTGATAAATTAATTAAAATTATCAATTTATTGTAACTGTAGTATATTATATAATATAAAATGTCTCTCCATAACATTTTATCCTTTAACTTTTATTAAACAGTATCATCCATCCTGATTGAAATGCAGCCGCTATCAACAATGATGTCGCATTAATTAAAATACAAGGGGTTTTCAAATACGATTCCAATGTTGCCAAGGTTACACTTGCTTCCAGCACTCCTCCTGATAAGACAGTCAGTATTGTAACAGGTTGGGGTTATACCAATTACGAATCAAAAACTAGACCTAATATTTTGCAAGCAATTACCACTGAAAGATGCAGCGATTTCAAGGCTTGGTGGGGTACACTCTTCAACTATAAGAGTAAGAGTCAAGTTGCAACCTACACCACATGAGGCGAAGGTATCTGCATGGGAGACAGTGGTGGCCCACTTGTGTACGAAAGTAAGAGCACCTTCATTCAATATGGTGTTTGCAGCTATGTCATGACACGTGAGTTAATCAGACATCCTGATCTTAAAATAGTACCACTCCATATTTTTTCTATTTAAGATGCTAATAATTTGCTTTCTTGACTATTTTTAACTTGTTCCTTCTAATTCTCAGCTTGCGCTAGTGGTAACCCTGATGTCTATGCTCGTGTCTCAGCCTTCTACGACTGGATCAATAACAATAAATAAAGAAATCGAGAATTACTAGATTTAGCTTCTGATCTATACTGAATATAGTATGGTATATTGTCATAGGAGAGATAGCTATCGAACAACTCCATGTACTTTTGACTAAAATTAATGTTACATTAGCTGTTATATCGTTTTTAACTGCTAGAAATAAACTAATTTAGCATTAAACTAACCTGTATTCTTTATGAATTTTGAGTGAAAGTTAGGGCTTGCCTTAAAAAACTTCTTTTGCTACTGTTATCTGATCCTATGCAGGTTTAGGATCTATCTGCTATCGATTTTATAATCACTGTTATCAAAGTTGGTATCATGCTTTTTTGCACATTATTTAAGTTAGAGATATACTTTTAGGCCATATACTATCAATTAAGAATTTGTGTAGTAACGTAATCATTAGTTTATATCGGTAAAGATATGTTAGCGTCAACGAGCAATTTTGGAGAAAAAGCGTAATGCGTGCTTCTAAATATGAAGTGTACGTTGAGCATTTGCTAGAGTAAAAAATAGGATTCTCCAAAATAAGTATTTAGACGAATATAATTAGGAGGGAAGATAGCGATCCCACTGATTGAGCTATAGAAAAAACAGTTACTTTTATTACAAAATCACAACATTGAAAGTGAAATTTAATTAACATTTATTTCGTCACACGTAAACAGTAAATTTAATTATCATTGATTGCATTCATTTAGTAACTATTACACCGACAAAGACATCGTTGAAAATATTAATTGAAATTGTTTCAACAATTATAGTAACATTTGGAAACTTGAAATCTTACTTTACTGGACAAATGAACGGTTAATTACACATTGATAATATTTTGTATTCATTGTGATGAAGTAAGAAAAATTTAGTATGCCTAAATTATAGTCCGGTTATAATATATGTGGTACATTGCACCATAAAGAGCTTTATTCGTGCAGAAATAAACGTGCTAACGGTGATATTGCTTACTGGCAGAGTCCTGCTTATCGATCTTTGTCTTTTGAACATCACATAATAAATATCTACCTACTACAGCTAGCTATACTACCATCTGTGTTCTTTACATTAGAGCATAAATCTGTAAGAGATAGCTTTGGATTTGTTGGGTAATTGCTGAAGTAATATGAAGCTATACATGATAATATTTGATGAATGTAGACTATAAATCACCTCAATGTGATACACTTATCCATGATAAAGTTTTTAGAATAGTTAATTCTTTAACGAATGAAAGACATTACCTTTCAGCTCCCCATCGTATGCAGTACAATGTTTAGTAGTATAATAACACATTTTGTTAGATTAATTTACTAAGTTCTCTTTGATCGAAACTTACCACCCTAAATTTGAATTAACTACAAGGTAATTTCGGTGCATAATTTTTCTATTTAATAAATTGAATAAATATGCAACAGCATTACGATGCTTGCATCTTATTGGTATACAGTAAGACACTAAGCTGTGATCATAAAGCTTCATAAATTAAATCGATTTTCATAGTTATCTGCCACGTTTCTAAGGTTTGTTGTTGTAGAAGGGCAGTTATGGAAAGATTAAGTAGCATTAACTTATCTATTTGTTGATATGATTGATGATAATCCCATTCAAGTAAAGATTCTTAACTAAAAGCTGAATCTATCAGAAAAACTACATAAACCCTAGAGAAATTTATGAGCTTCCAGAAATAATTTTATTGATTATTAGAGATACTATGGAATACAAAAGGAGCATTAAATTTAACAATGCCTAAGATATATAAATATTCAGAACCTTATTTATTGACAGTCTATGCTTTACAAAAAAAAATTAAAAAATAAATTGGATAGTATAAAAAGGAAGATGAATTAAATTCAATGAATTATTTTATTAGTGAAAAACCTTTCACTTAATTTAGAGAAATAAAGGAATGATAATAAAGTAGCCATTTTATACTTTGAGGTAACTGATGGCATATGGTCGAATACTGTAAAGAATATGAGGGAGATTCATTATAAAAAGTATTTTACAGGTACAGCAGAATTATTTTTAGTGTACTTATTCAACATAGACAAATATTAAAAAAAGAATTATGTAAAAGTAATCATGAACTTTATTCGACGTTAGTTTGATGACGCCAATCCATACGTCATCGCTCATTTATTGGATATATAAGTTTACTGGAATACAGCGCCATATAGTATCAACTATCTTGCAGACTTGACGCGGTAACTAAATAGAATGTATCCAAAGGGCATATGTTATTTTGATTACAAATAAAATTCTATTTGATAGATTGACCTCACGTAAGTGAAATATTTCAAGTTGTGGACAATTTTGTACAGGAATAAAAAAATATTTAAATTATTTTCTCGTCGCTGTATGGTATACAACTACACATTATAGCATTAAAAAGTGTAAGATAGTTGAAGTAAATAATATTAGTAACCAAACTTTCTCTTAAAAGCATTTAAAATCTTTATACAGTATGATGTAAATCAGAACCAGTACTTTTACGTAATCAAAAACTTGAAAACGTAGTATATGAAATGCTTAATTGCATTATTAGGAATATAGGTAAAGACGCATAGGGGATATATAGATATATGATTGAATGCTGATACCTAATATGGTACGAGAAAACGAAGAAAAGATTGGGCTAATTGAAGGAGTACAGTATCTAATATCAACGAGTATAGTAAAATATCACAATTTTACGTATTACATGGAGATCTTGAAAATATGAATTACTTTATACAGCAAATGATAATATTAAAGTAGAATATACGTATACCAGGTATTCTATTAGCTCAATTTGTTAACTAACTAGAATAATATGGTTATGAGGTTTCTGTTACCTAAATCACAATTATTTAGAATTCTATTTGCAACGTTCTCAACGTACCAATTTTTTGTCATTCAACGCTTTTTACTAAAGTCAAAATAATCGTTGCGATGTCTGATACAGAAAATTTACTAAGAGTTGTGTTCAACTATTAAGCACAGAGTATAGCAATTTTTTCGCAAAACTTTTAGTATTTCTACTTTGAAAAGTGATCTGTATTATTGATAACTAAAAATCTCGACTAAATTAAGTTATGCTGTAGCTATGCTAGACCTTTATCCTATTAACAATATTCTTTGATCACTAACAAAATGGAAGGTGTTAATTAGAAAATTTTTATCACAGCGAAGACGGTACAATATGATATGACGTAGTATACTGATAGGTTATCAAGTGGTCCGTATTAAATACTGATTTAAATCCACGGAGTCACTTTAAAGTGGTAACATACCAAAAAGTGACCCAAAAGCTGCTTTTTTATTTATATGCAAATTATAAGTGAGATATTCTTTATAGTAATTCAATTGGCTATTTTTATATTTATTTACTTTAACTACACTAAAGGGCCTTTCGTAAATATAAATATTGAAGTTAGGGTCCGTATGATCGATAAATTGAACAAAAAAGATTCTATAAATTTAACCTAGCATATATATGCACAAAACAACTGTTAAACTGGTAATAATTTAGAATTGCGCCTGCTTTTTCCGACTTATTACTTGACTTATCAAAATTCTTTGCCCTATTTATCAATCTTGATTTATTATTATATTTGTGAAACTCCACCTATAATTTGCGTAAGTTAAACTACGCCTCTACTGGTATGATCTCTATCACCGCAGTTGTTCCATCTGTTTAACATTAGTATTTTAAATGCGATCACATGGATAATGCTAATGCATATTATAACTTGATCTTCGAGATTTTTTGATCCAATTACGCTTTTGAAAACGACATGTTGAAAAATTCGTAGTAGTATCAGTAATTGAAGTGAGAAATTTTTTATTTTGCGTCCAAAGATCCTGATAAAATATTGCAATCGCCCTTTAAAGGAGTTTAATCTTAAAATCAATTAATCATTGTAGAAGTGTGAACAAGGAAAGGCGAAAATTATTACTAATATCAAATATGCTATCCGGAGACGTTAAAGTTTCTTTAATAATTACTGTACTCCTCCATTTCCTACTGCAAACTGACGCACAAGGTTTGTATGGCAATAAAAATTATAATTTATATAATTTGTTGATCAATTAAACTTTTGTAGAAATTGCTATGCTATAATAGGGACGTAATTGCTTTAAAGTTATTTCTACTTTACATACTAATGATGACATAATTGCTGAAAGAATTCTCTTAAATACAAGAAAGATAATTCTAAATTTGCACGAGGCCTCAATATACTACGCCTAGAATGCCAGTTGCTCTTGTCTTTTACCCTAGCTTTAATGGTTAGATTAATTAATTATTAGACTAGATACTAGGACAATCATGACAAAACATAAAATGTATGTCGTTTAAAGTTTGGTAGGTCAATTTAAAAGCTATGAGAGAGCCAAAGTTATTCGTGTACTATAATACATACGGTAGCAAAGTTCTGTAGTCTATCGGAAACGAATTACTTTCCATTTAATGATCAATAAAATGTTTTAAAACTAGAAAGCTATCATGAATTCATAGGGATTTGGGGTAGGAGAAGAATTTTCGAACATGTAGTGGTTATTACCAGTAAATCAGCGAACTATATTCCACTAATAGTTACTTGTATATATGGATTAGTTCCTTTTCCTAAGCAATTATAATTCTCAATTATTAATTACAGGTTAGGGCTGTAAAATCATACCAATAGCTATAATGTGACATTTTATAGATTGATTTATCAATATAAAAAACAGTAGTTATATTTTTTTTCAGAAAAAGATTAATATCAAAGTTTAATCTTCTGTTTTCTTTCTAATTTATTATTTACCTCTTAAGTGGTGTGTATAATATCTTCTTCGAGATAGATAATTTTTAGATTACGAAGTATCTCAGCATCAGCTTAAGAGTTTCATGCATACTTAGTGAAGACCAGTGTATGCTTTTAAGTGATGTAATAATATAAATGTTTCGTCATGCTTTTCATGTTATTCGTATCAGCTATTTGTTAATATTGCTAGTTTTTTAAGTTGCTATTTATGTCCTTGCAGTTGAAGCCTTCTCTTATGTATTGATCCTTGATCCAACACTCTAATTTTTTATAAATAATATACGACTAACATTTATTATTAAAATTTTTGCTTATAGTCTGCATGGGACAATTAGGCATCAGCTCTGGGGGAGTTAGCAATGAACAATTGGTTGCTTCATCATTTCGCAATTCCCTAACAAGCCCTGTGTACGGACGATTAAATGACGTAAAGGGCTATGGCGGATGGTGTGCGGCGACATCATACGATCAATTTATCCAAGTAGACTTACTTGCGCCAACATATATCAGTGGAATTTCAACACAAGGGCGTAATTTCTACATTGGACGTGAAGAATACGTATTGGATTATACGGTGGCCTATGCAAACATATCTGAGAGCTGGGTAGTGTACCAAAACGGACAGGTAATGATTTCCTTATATACATTACTTCTTTCATAAATTAATTACATCAAAATTCTTAAATTTTATAAAATGATCATGCACTATTCATAATTGATTAATTTTTTCAAAAATATCAGTGAAATATTTCTCTTCTACCTTTTAGCTTGAATCTTTTAACTTTGAGCATTTATTTATTTACCAACTTAAATAAGTAACCATTAGTGGCATTTTCAAAGTAGAAATGATACACAATGTAGTTAAGTAAATTATCCTCTAGTTATCAAGTTCTAGCTTGTAAAAGTGCCGTATACCCGTACTTTATATCTCTCAATACAATATTATCTTGTAATGCAAATGCGATAAGAAATACTTAAAGGATAATAATGACGATCCTAATGAAAAATTCCGTATTAAATTTCATAATAGTTACCGTACTTGATAAATAATTATTTAAGTACATGTTTTGATGATGTGAGTACTTTGTTATATTAAAATTTAATTGAATACTGATGAGTATTAATAAGAATATCTAAATGAATGGTCGTCGACCCTCTATCACATTAATACTATTGCATATAAAAGACTGACTTGTCACTTGTAGAAATAAAATACTATTAAATAAAGGGTATGCGTATGAACACTAGCTGATTGCACTCTAATTTGTAATCTGATTACTGAATATGAATATTCTTTACTATATTCATCATTTAGCGAATAACTGCTAACATAAATGCTGACACTATTATTAGCAATATGTTTAACTCACCTATACTCGCAAGATATGTCAGGATTTTCCCACAACGTTTCTTCGGTGGTTCACCATGTCTGAGATTTGAATTACTAGGATGCTACACAAACGGTACCGAAATTATTATAAATAGATATTAATAATCTTATTATGGAAATACTTTGCAGTTCATGTAGATCTTCCAATTCTGAACCTTTTCAGTATTTTTACCGTTGAGTGAAAACACCAAATAGAATAGCATAGCATTGCAAGAGTTTAAATTAGATTGAATTACTATTCAATCAATAAATAATACAATACATGTAACAGACGCAGTATCGCATTTATTCTTCTATAATAAAGCCCAAAATTATATATATATAACTGAAATTACAAATTCATTAAAATTTCGGAAGCTTTTTCACTTTGTTACATTACAGTTGTGGTTCTATAATTAAGTATAAGAAATATTTTGATTACTGTCATAATCGAATGGTTTTAAATTTCTATTATAATAAATATTAACGATTAAAGAACCTTGTGAAGGAGATCTTGGAATGCAAGATGGTTCAATTCAAGATTCGCAGTTATCTTCTAGTGGTACCTCAGTACAAGGTGCAGGAGTAACTTATGCTCGTTTGAATGGACCAAGTGCTTGGTGCTTAGTTGCAAGTACCGTCAGTCCTGGCACTCATTACCTGCAGATTGATCTGTTGCGGCCAACACGTATTGTTGGTGTTGCTACACAAGGACAATCGAATTCATTTGTTCGAGACTACGCCGTAGGATATTGTACTTCCGCACAAGAAAGTAGTTGCCAATTTCATCTCGATAACAATCAAAATCAGGTTAGTGAATATTATAATTATCAATTATTTTAGAAATTAATTATTATGATAGAACTGTAACTAAAATGAAGTACATTTACCTTACCGTTCTAGTTTATGTAAAGCAACCATGTATTACTAATCTAAGTTTATCTGCTACAAAGATAAACTTATGCTACTGACTAGTATATGAATGGGCATACCTATATAACAATAGGTTATATACCTGATTTTTGCCAATCCTGACGATGATACTACTTAGGTTTAATCATTATGCCCCGAACATAAATAATAGTAAAATAAATGTAACTATCTTTCTTACATAGATTATTACAGGAAATACCAATGGAGACACAGTGAAGTTTCATACTTTAAATCCAACCTTCGTAGCAAGATTAGTTCGAATATACCCGGTTGACTTTAATCAGGCGCCTTGCATGAGAGTAGAGTTATTTGGCTGCGAAATTGGCGGTAAGAAAATTAACTAGAAATAGCTTCTTCTTGTACATACCTGAATAGATTTCACTAAAGACTTAGAGAAATTTCAGCCTAGACGAAGATAAAAGTAAATTAGAGACCTAATTTATCATTTTCAGGTTTTAGCTTACCATTTTTATCGATTTCACTTTTACTCATATTTGGTTAATAAACGGTACTCATAAGAAGTTATTACTGAGCCGCTGTACATTTTGACACTTCATAATTACTTTTTTTTGCAAATAAATCGAGAATAGGAGGGATAACTAGCTACAATACGACATTGGGTAGTCCATCGCAGACTCCAAGTTATCTTGATAGTACATATAGTGGTACCGTAACTTCATTAAGTGGCAGTAGAACTGCTTACACCGGTGGTCGTGGAAAATTAACAGATGGTATTTTGGGTTCCGATGATACGAGAGCTAATAACGGTAATAATTGGATCGGTTGGCATAAAACGACGTATCCACAACCCGAATTATTGATTCAGCTTAACGCTGAATTGGTTTTGTATACTTTGAAATTTTACATAAGTCACTATCCCGCTCAAGATACCTCGGTATTTGAAATGGCCTATGTTTCATTCAGTAAAGACGGTTATCGATTTGGCCCAGAGATTAAGTATACTCCAGTGATTGGATTTAATACCACAACGAAAAGAGCCGGTTACATTACTTTAGGAGTGGTTGGTAAAGCCTGCATAGCCTTAAAATGCCGATTTCAACACGGATCGCAGAATCTCTTGCTCATTAGCGAACTTGAATTGCAAACAATAAATAGTAAGATAAAGCACATGTAGTTAAATAAAAATTAGCATTAATAATACCAAATATCTTGAATCAGCTATCGCCTACTATCCGAATTTAACGAATTTTACATTAATACCTTACATTATGTTATGGTCCTAGTAAAAATTTGTCATTCTCAATAATATGCATGTGCGATAATTACGATGAGAGTCCAATTATTACAGTAATCTAAGCTTGATAAATAAATATGTATGCATTTATTTACACGATAAATTAGGCGATCAAACACCTACCATTTCCACTGCTGGCAATAATATAACCACAGTTTCTACTACAACTTCCCCTATCACGACTTCATCTACTATTGCTCCATCAACAAGCGTTGCAATATCTACCACTCAAGAAGGAACTACCGCAAAAGTTTTTACCCCGGTGACAACAACACCAACAACAACAAAATCCGATGCTACGACATCGACAGTAGCTTCTACGACAATAACATCAACGACCAGTCAGCCAGACCCTACAACTGCTGCGGCTACAACACGACCAATAACCCAGCGTTAGTATAATTTAATTTGGTTTTACATTATAATATCTATAAAAATTATATATCTTTATATTTTATATTACTACAATACTATTAATACTTCAGATTTAGACTATAAAATAAGTTTCGCCTATAATTTTAAAATGAGCATAATTTTAAGCTCATCATTCTGACTACAGAAACGGAATCAACGAGTGCAGCTCCAGCAACTACTTCGACAACTCAAACAGCAACCACTTCGACAACTCAAACAGCAACTATTGAGACTAAAGAAACTAAATCAACAACAATTGGTACATTTGGAAGTGCTGATACAGGATTCAGGACAGCGACAAGAGTTGAAGATATCGTGCTTTACGTTTTGGCTAGCTTGTTCTTTCTTGTGAGTTTGATCCTTTTAATTTGCGCTTGTAAAATTAGAAGACGTCACAATAGGATATACTATGTTCCGAATACTTCAGCGTTTGAGCTAACTCGGCAGCAAACTACCAAATCTATTCGAAGTGAAAAATCTGATGGCGAATCAACTGTTGCTAAACGAGGTATTGTAGAAATATGAGCTGAAATAATGTGAGATCACCATTAAAATTAATTTATCCTATGAGTTAAATATCGTTTTGCACGATACATGTGTCATTTGAAAATATTTCAATTCCATGTTAGCCGCGTGTGCATCTGGCCTCTGATTTGCTTTTCTTTTCTTTCGTGCATTGTTTGCTAACACAGGTTCCAGTCAGAAGTTCAATAAACATACAGATTTATTGATAGTTCATCAAAGCTCTGCGCGCAACGAAATTTATTTTGAGAATGTTCAAGGTGTTTGTGGTAATAACTTGTACCAGGTAAATGCTATGCGTCAATATCTTTTCTATCATCGCGCAGAAGAGCAAGAATTTCAGGATAGCCAGTTTAGTGATAAACAGCTAATTGGAAATGGAACGTTCGGTCAAATTTACACAGCAGTGTTGAAACAAGGAGACGGAGAGGCTATTAGAAAACAAATTGTTTGTATTAAAATATCTAAACCTGATGTGGAGGATTGTGTTGAGGATCAGGTCAATATAGAAAAAGATATTTTGTCTCGCCTTCGTCACGATAATATTGCTCAATTCTATGGCACCATTACTGATGAATCACATCTTACAACAGTTGTTGAATACTGCGAATATGGTGACCTACATCAGTTTTTAGTAGCCCATTCCCCAGTTACCAAATCTGGACGTCAATCCATCTGTGAGGCTTTGCATGCTGGAACATTAACAGAAATAGCCTCCCAAATAGCTCTTGGGATGGAATATCTGGCTAACATGGATATTATTCATCGCGATCTGTCTATAAGAAACTGTTTAGTTGTGGATAGATATCATGTAAAAATCAGTAATTTAGCTATGTCGAGAGCAGTACATTCAGCCTCTTATTGCAACTTTGAAAGTAGAGCTAATTTACCGATTCGATGGATGGCCCCTGAAACCATCGCACTCGGTGGCTACACTAAACATAGTGATATTTGGTCATATGGGGTTACGTTATGGGAATTATTCACTTACGCAGACTTTCCGTTCGAGAATATGAGTGATCAACAAGTTATAGCAAATGCGTATCGCATATTAAAAGAAAGTAAATCCAAAAAGATATTATCGAAGCCCGAATATGCGAATGACACAATATACGACATCATGAAGAAATGTTGGATTAAGACTCCGGAGAAGAGGACAAGTTTTGGCGAGATCATAGTTCGGTTACGTAAAAGCTAAACTTCAAGTGGGACCATGCGATGATAATTATTACGTACAGACTATCAAACTTCTATATATTGCGAATTGTTCGCTAAATTATTTTGTTAAGAAAATGATATCAATCATTACTAATTATTTGCAATAGGCTTGGATATATTGAATTTTGACAATTTGGACCTAATATTATTATATATGTACTTTGTTTTGATTTTTGCTTGCTTCTAAAATTGGACTTTAATGAAACTATAAACTCGTTTACTTCATATACACATAATATCATAGACCAGATAGCATGAGTAAATCGGATGGCATTTTAGTATTAACGTCAGTTTGTTATTTTAGACATTTAATGAGTTAAACAACAATATACATTAATAATAGGTGTATGTATTTAAAGGATTTGTTTGAATTGCAGTATGTTTATTACAGTGTGATCAATATCTAATTTTAGTCAAACAAAAGCATAAAATACTTTTATCGGTGATCATTGCATTGCCTCTGATATCATATACGCGTATGTTCATGGAATTAGTAATATACACGTATTGCATACACAACTATTAGTAGAGTATTCACCTCACTGAGTAAGATTTTTAATTGATAATACATTTATTTGTTGGCAAGATTTTCAGAAATTGCAGTCATGAGTCAGTCATGACTGCACTTGTTTTTCAAATGTCAGTACTTATAGCCTCATTTTTTTCCAGTAATGGAGAGATTATTAGCATTACTATGTGAGCTAACACTCTCTAAATGTAATGCTGTACACATGCGTAATACGTAATAAAAGTAGTATGTAACCAAAGTAATACACGGTCTATAGTCTACTTACCATATACGAGCATATGAGTAAATTTATGTACAATAGATTGTAATGTGAGTGTGAAGAGAGATAATAAAGAGGATTGTTATATATATGGATGTATTCTTTATTTCACGAAGTATAATATTTTAATTAAGTTCTTAATCTTTATATTATAAAATGTTATAAATTGCTTTAAAGTTTGCAATTCTTAAAAAATTTGCGTTCAGTTTAATTAACATTATTAACCAACAATTTCTAATATAGTAATTATATTAACAATTATCTACTGTAATATTAGTATCACGATAATATTTACTATTAGAAATTTACCTATGTTAAATATAGCTATTCATACAATTGAATTTGTAGTGCATCACTAAAAATTCATGAGATGAATACATTAGTTATTAATAGTAAATGTAACTCTATTTAATCTTAACAAATGTGAATGACGAGTTGACCATGTGGAATTAGAGGATGATATAACATGAAGTTTCGCTATTTACTGCTAATATTGGATTACTTAACTTTAAAATCAGGTTGTCATAGGAGTTACCAGGAAATATTAATTTCAAGAAATTGTCACTGTTGTAAATAAAATCAAGCAGGATAACATCTTTATAAGTATAATATTTTCTAGTACTATTGGCTTCTTATAGGGGTATTAATTTTAGACAATTTTTTTGGTTTGATGAAGTACTAGTACAAACTCCATCGCTTTGCTGACGGTTTACGATAATGTTAGGGTTTGTTTATAATTAACAGATAGTATTACCATTTGATAGACCTGTCAGAGGTTCAGTAACTTTATACCGTGTATGTATGCTGTACAAAAGTACTTACATACGTTCAGTCCTTACTTTTTCTACCTTATGACTCTAATAAAGCTGAAAACATGAAATTTCGAAAAAAAGCTTCTAATTATGAAAGGTAGCAAGACCTTTGAATCTAGGTGATTTAGATACTCGCGTGAATTTTGGTTCTTCTGCATACTAGTATAGGAGTCCGCGTGTTGGAAGTCGGACATATAAATATGTTCTTATCTACTATCTACACGATACTATGTGTTGTGACAAAGAAAAATTTCGCTACGCGCAAATAAAGCAACAATTAGGATATGATACATTTCAAAATGCTACTTAACATATGATCGACAAAAACCACTGGCGCCTAGCTGTCCTAATCTTCAGTTATTAAAACTTTTCTCATACGTAGTAAGTATCGTATTACAACTGGTCACACAAGTATAACTTCCGTTCAACACTTGAGGTAAAATGAGTACGTGGCATTAATAAAGTGACGATCTTGATACGATTATACTAGCGGAAGTGGCTTAATGATCATTTTAAAAGGATAATAGTATTACTCTTTACCTGTAAATCTGCATGTAAATAGCTAATAATTAACGTACTTGTAATGTGTACGGCGTTATGTGTCTGCGTGTCGGTAATGTGAGTCATCAGTTGGGAGAAATTACTTACGATACATTAGTGAAATGTATTTACAAGCAATTACAGCATTAGTAATGACTGGATTACACTATATACATGCATATATTATACTAACTATGCATAATCTTATTTACGCTATAGGAGTTCAGAAAAATACGATTTGCCTGCAATCAGATATATTACTCCAGAACGAAATCCTAAAACTGAATAATAACGAATACTTTGTACCAATCGGCAGCTCGAGCAGTAAACAGGTTCTGAAAAGTTCTCTTATTACCTGTAAAGGAAAATACCGCAGTTGTTACTACTATATATGCATACTTATGTTTGGCTAGTAGTACATTTACCAACCAACTGGAACCTGATGAATCAGAAGTTTGAAATTATAGCACATACTATGCACTTCATTCACGCCTGGTGTTTTATACAGCCTCTGTCCCTGAATAAGTCCATAAAATATTGATTGTGTGCCTCCAGCAGCGATATTAAATAAACATTCCATGGTAGGAACTGAATAATAACTTATCATAAAATGACAACATAGTCATGATATTTGTGGAAGCTACTTTGCAATGTGTATAGCTTTATAGTCTTTATTGTTTGTTATGGCCTGTTGTCTACGAATCCTTGAGGTGTAGAGACATCCACTGCTATATAAAATTATTTCTGTACTTTTATTCGTTCTTAATTTGAACTTTTATTTTAATCATAATCAAATTTTAAAGACTGATGTGCGCCAGGATTATTTTTATAGAACATTTTAATTAAAGACTGCTCTTGGAAGGAATGCTTTTTGATGGTAATTTACCGAGGTATGCGTTGTATATATATATACTCACGTTCGTTACAAGGAAACTAACAATTTCTCGATAACAGCAAATATCTTCTGTTCAAGTTAGTGTTCGGAAGCAACTTAACTGGTCACCTCTACAAATATATTACTTTTCTGCATTTTCAGAAAATAGGTTAACGTTGACGTAGTACAGCAACTAGCTTCGTGCTTTGAGTAAAAGTCGTAAAATTTAAGGCTCTTTCATACTATATAACTTATGCGTACTTTTTTGTTGATAAGGTTTTTTACAGAAAAATTTTGTGCGTTTATACAGTAAGACAGACGTGAGTCTTTATTGGTTGTATTGAACAACGATCTATAGTTTGTGTACCTTGTAAAGATTTGCGGTAAGCTAATTTAAAAACTAAATGATTAGGTCCTTTGACAATGCTTGATTTTTTATTGTATTAGATTCTGATTAATCCTGGCCTCATCTATACCGATTACAATCTATGTAGCCAAAATCGGTGCCAATTCTGTCAAATCTTATCACAAATATCAAGTAGCTTAATTATTAGGAAATATTTCGATCAAGAAATAGCATGATATTGCGAAAAGCTTTGGTGTTTGCTACAATTTATTTAATTATAGCCCCTCGGATTCATGCACAAGGTACCGTAGGTAATACGATACTGCATATTTTAAAAAAGCTTGTATTGATAAAGATTTTGATGGGAACGATCTACTAATCACGGTAACCGTAATCAAAATCAAGTACTATCTGGCTATATGCAGACGCCTTATCTGCATCATACGCCATTTTAGCCTTCAACTGTAAGACTTCTGTACATTTTGTAATTATGATTACGGTATGATTGACAACTATATATTAGTGTACTATTTACGCGGCATGTTTTTGTCTCCATGTCCATATGCAAATTCTGTTGCAATACAGTCAAATAAATAAACTACAGTAAAAGTTGTATTCAGTAATTATAGCTGGAATTTAAAAAATGACAATTAAGTTACGCGAATTATCTCTATTTTAATTGCCTTTGCTGACTTTTATTAACTGGCTCCATACATGTTATCTGCATTTTACAACCATATTCAGGCTGTTCTTATCCACTGGGAATGAACAATGGAGCCATTACTGATAGTCAGCTGTTTGCTTCAAGTGTTGATCGTGAAACAAGTTCAGCCCAGCATGCAAGACTCAATCAAACCAGTGGCGATGAAGCATGGTGCGCCAAATCACTTACTAGAAATCCGCAATTACAAATTAATTTAATTTATCCGACATTAGTAACTAAATTAGCTATTAGTGGACGCAGACAGGAATATGTTTCTGGTTTAATAATCGAAATCAAGACGGCCCCCAATACTAATTATAGTAATTATAATCAGGGCCGGGTAAGTTTTCTGAAATTCATATGGGTATTTAATTATGGTAGCAATAAATCTTACAGATTGTTGGTGTGATGTATAGCAAAAATTATGAATTAAGTAATTAATTAATAAATAATAATAAATACTTAAATAGTGCTATTAACACATTATAACTTAGACTAAGACCCTGTAAATCTCGCACTGTCGAAGAATTTGTTAGAAAGGGTTGAAATATTGATTTAGTTCTTAATAAATATTGATAAAAATACTAAAATAGTTCCATTAATATATTATGATCAAGACCCTGTAAATGTCGCGCTATCGGATGTAAAGGGTTGAAATATAAATTAAGTTCTTATTAATTAATTATATATTCACAGGTTATTACTGTATCGCCTGTTGCTGGTATTGGTATTGCGTATATTGACTTAGTCCCTTCCATTTTTGCCTATGAAATATTGTTCACTATCGTAGAGCACGTCGGTGGTGCTCAGTGTATGGGAGTAGAATTATACGGGTGTTACTTAATGAAGGGTATGATATTGTATAAAGATTGATAAATTTACGTGTTTACGCATACATCAGTAGCGCGTCTACTTAAATACGAATGTCGATTTCTTTGAATGAATTCTAGCAGTTTTAGAAGATATGTTCTTAGTTACCGTACGTCCGCAACGTATCTTTCTAAAATAATTTTAAGTCGCTGTTAACCACCGCTTTATTATGTTAGGAAAAGTGAAATATTATAATATACAAGATGGCAACGACAACCATTTTTACGATTATGACTATAACGGAACTAAATCAACCCTTGATGGCATAATTTATCTTAGCAATGGTATTGGTAAGCTGACGGACGGTACTTTGGGATCTAGTAAACCATCAAGTATACTATCGAACGAATGGATAGGATGGAGTTCTGTAATAGTGTCAGTCCCCACTTTAACGTTCGCTTTTGCTACGGAACAAATCTTCTATCAAGTTTATATCCATTGTCTAATATCATATCCATTCACCTTGTTCAAATATGCGAATCTGTCATTTAGCAATGATAGTTCTGAATGGACTAGACCTGTCATTTATTACGCTAACAAATCCCCTACAATTACGAGTGAGGCCTTTTTCATCACCTTTAAATTGCATAACGAGACCGGACGATATATCAAACTAGAGCTTGCTTACAGTAAATCCAATGCCTGGATTGGTTTGAGCGAAATTTGGTTTATGTCTAGAGAAGTCAATGGTTAGTAAGATGTCATTATTGCGTAAGGGATCATTCATGGTTCCTCTGATTCGCTAATTAATTTCGCATATACGTATGTATGCTACCAATAACTGCCTACAGCGCATTGTACGAGTATTTCATGCTTCTGTGTAAATTCTTTACAAATATCCCTTGCACAAGTATCTCGAGCTTTTTGATATATTACATGTAGTAGTAATGCACTGTAAGAAAACTCTTCCGGGAGCATATCTGGCTCAGCTCAGTAAATTAATCGAACCAAATAGCGTTATATTACCGTAGATAATTTTATTAATATGAACCTGTTTTGGGAAAGCACACAATGTAGTAATATTTTACTTGAAAGTTATTACTCGCTTAGATTTTATCACGGTAAGCTCTGCTATGAAGGCTATAGACTAGTAAGCATATTACAGCAATACACGTAGCTATATGTTTAATCGGAATTTTAGTTAAAATAGACGTTTATGTACTCATATTACTATACATTAGTAGAGACTTTGAAAAAGTTCTTTTACGAATACATTAATTTTCCTATATTTCGTAATTTTAGACACGTCTTTCAATACAATTACGGTGCCAACTAGTGAGAGTCGTCCTACTCGCACGACTTTGGTATCAACTACCGCCTCAACGGAAAAACCAAGATTAACCATGAAGTCAACTAAACCTCCTACTATGGCGACAACAGCTACTACTCGCACCGTCATTACTATAGGTAGATCCAGGAAGTTATTCACCTACTTATAATTACTATACGCATATATTTCTTCATAATAATAAAGTAGTTGAATTAATTATTATTTATTTTCAGTTGCGCGCATGTAGTATAATCAAATGTTTCATTTGCATTAATCATTCACTGATTTAACAAAATATTGTAGTCGTTCAGATCCGAACTACACACACTGCTATACAGTACAAAAGCCATGCACGCCTAAATATAAAAATTGCTTATTTACTTTCATAGGTAGTACATTGACTAGCATAAACAGTGAAAGCATACCATCTTCTGTATCGAAATTTATCACCATGTCAACTTCTGCATTTACAGCAAGTCCATCTCTGATTCCCGTTGCAGTACCGACTGTTATAGCATTTGCACTTGTAACTATCATGCTCATTGCCTGGTTCGCATATCGAAGGAATTTATGCCCGCATAACTCAGCTTGCTCATCCAGAATATCACGCAATCGTGTAACATTAAGGAGAGGGAAGATCATTGTTAAACAAGAGCAAGATCGTCAATCGACCGATATTTTTTCAGATTCGTTAAAAGGGAATGGTAATAGAAACAGCCGAATGCGCTCGCCTATCCCTTCTTATATGATGGATCAAGGTAAGAAAATTTCGAATAATTTTATATAGATTAAATGAAATGTTTAGATAGTGTAATAAATATTCTACAATATATTTCGTATAATAAGTACAGTATACTGCAGTAGTTAGTGTCGCCGGTAACTGTAAATCTATTCTTACGTATTTGAAGCTCAAACGGCTGCTAGCTTTGACTTATTAATCTCTGCACGATATTCTCATTAACAGTGACTATAATATGTAATTATACCAATAGATAAGAATATCTATCGACCGATAAAATATTGCCTTATTTTTAGATACAGATGTAGAAATGACTAGCTACAGTTATCCAACAGGCGTTAATACGAACCTAATAAATACAGCTGCTCAGGCTAGCACAACGAGAAAAGCAGCCGATGAAGATATTAGAAGCAATGATGCCCTAATAAACGAAAGATCCTCAGATGCTGCAGCTGGTCATTCATTGACAAGCTTAGATACAAGTACAGTCATAACGCCAGCTTCTAAGACTAGTTCTGATAGACTCCGTCAATCTGCTAGCAATCTTAATAGTCATCGAAAAGGAAACGATGAAAACGACGCATACAGTGTTATACTTGCTGATGATGACTACAGCTCGTCAGAAGCGTCTTCTATATTTTTTCCAATCCCTAGTACCAACGACAAGCTAGATCGTCAAAGTATTCACGGTGGTTATCAATCAGATGAGGATTCACATGTTACTGACGAACTTAGTACTAGTTCTCGTGATCATTTTTATAACGTGAATCGTCAAAGGAGTCTTAGACGTAGCCATAGAACCGCTAGTCGACATTCACTTGGAAATGAAATTCGTAAGCAACGACGTCATATTCAACGTAGAAGTAGCAGCAGAGCTTCGTTAAATAAAATAGCATTTTCTACGGCCCCGCGATATGAACATCATGACTCTCATAAGTCAGTGCGAGAAAGTGAATACGAAACAGCGTCGATTAGGAAAACTAGCCATCGACCGCCTGCTGCAAAAGCACCTAAACTAAGCATCTCAAATAAACCTATTTCAAGCTCGAGTTCGCGAAGTCTGAGATCTCATTTACCTCGCGAGGGCTATGAGTATAATTATGAATCAGGAATTAACAGAGTAAAGTCTTCCAGTGAGAAGGGTTCCAGGGGTGAACGTCGAGTTGTAACTCGCTCCGCAACTACTGCTGGAACGCACACACAAGGTAATAGGTTATACAGTACAATTGGCAGTCGGGATCAAAGGGAAAAAACACTCGCACAGCAATTGTCTGCAAGTATAGGTAGGAAACCATCGAAATCTGTTAGTTATAAGGACCAGTCAGCGATTATGGAATATCCGATATCATGCTTAGAAGTCGTAAAAGATATCGGTGAAGCAGAATTCATTACGGTTCATTTAGCAAAAGCGAAAGGTCTACGAGGCGTTAATGTTCGCTACGTAGCTTTGAAGAAGATCAAAGATCCATTGGACAAAGCGGTTGCCAAAAAGTTTTTCCAGGAAGTAGCAATCCTAAATAAAATTAAGCATAAGAATGTTACACGTCTGTTAGCTATTTCGACACGAAATCAAGTTTTGGCAATGATTATTGAATATCCTGAATTTGGTAATTTGCATCAGTACTTGCAACAGGCAACTAATGAGATCGATTTAGGTCAACCGGGTGTTCCTCCTATTTCCCCATCTTACTTGTTGCTTATGGCTAAACAAATAGCGGAAGGAATGCAGTATTTGACTTCATTGGATATTGTACATCGTGATTTAGCGACTCGTAATTGTTTGGTAGGATCATCGTACTTTATTAAAGTTTCAAATTTTGGTGTAGTGAATAGAGATTTCATGCGTGACTATTATATTATGGAGGATTTGCCTCCATTGCCAATAAGATGGATGGCACCGGAGGCCATATTAGAAGGAGACGTTACAACTTCTAGTGACGTGTGGGCTTTTGGAATTACATTGTGGGAGATTTTAACGTTTGCCAAACGACCATACGGCGATAAAAGTGATGTAGAAGTATTAGAGAATATAATTAAGTTATATGAAGGTGGAGAAAATGCCGTCCTACTAAACCAACCGTCTTTTGCGTCGAATGAATGCTATAAACTAATGCAAAAATGCTGGAGATTAGATCCGAAACGCAGACCATCCTTTGAAGATATTGTAACTATGTTCTCTTAAATAGTCACTGTGTTATTTAAGGTAACGCTTCGCTTTTGTTTTCAGTTGCGTAGAATTAAAGTACCAGTACATTACTGTTTTAAAAAGGTTTCGTAAACAATATCACATCTACCGTTTACTGAAATTAGGATTCATTTATTCTGACTCTCAGAGCCAAGGAGCTTGCTGTAATGATTACCTTCCAGCGGTAGTGACTGACTTTTTCCATAATAATAATAACTCGTATAATCATAAGAATAAATAAGAGATGGGCATGTCGTAAAAGTATTGATATGGTTGTTCTACTTTCTAAATCTATAACATTAAGTTTCCTAATATTGCTAAATGTTAGCTTCGAATATGAAAATCGGCTATTGCTCTTAAGCTATCGCTCAGATTAACGTTACTAACAGTAAATCTACGATAAATACGAACATTGAGGCTGGTACTTTGTTATTTTAAGATAAATCATCGTTCCGTAGCTGATTTTAAAAATATCACGAAGGTTGTGATACTATATACTGCTACACTGTACAACACCTACTTATTGTATAATGTATACCCGTATTCAACGCTTGAAGTGAGAAATCCATTAAAGAATACTTTTAGCATTTAGCATATTCTACAAGTTAATTGAACCGTGAAGCTTAATTAAAGTTACCTTTGTAAGTACAGTGCAGTACATTTACAGCTCAAAGTAGTGAGCAAACTGCATTATTAACCCTTAAAGTGCAGTGTATTTATTTTCGTTTCCAACATTTGGAGAGCAAAGTACTAGTAATTATTACTATGTGCTTTGACTGTACTGGTATAGACAGTCGTAATTCTATCAACATGTATAAAAAGTTCAGCTCTCTAGCTACATTATAGTATACTATAAGTATAATATTTTTTACGTTAGTTTCAGCACTATTTTTTCCCTTTTTCTACGTCTGAAAGCACAAATAAATATACTGTACCTCACCTAAGTGTACAGTGTACAAATAAGTGGAAGCTTTTTCTTCTACAGTAGCGAGCATCTATCAGGTCCGAATGCTCCCATTGCTGTTGTTTCAGCATTATTTTTTCCCCTTTTTCTACATCTGAAAACAAAATAAATATACCGTACCAAAGTGTACAGTGTACAGTATGTACAGTACAGTACGGTACTGTAGTGCACTGTACCTTTTGATGAACCTACTGTAGAACAGAACCGGAACTTTGACAGCATTAGAGGTCACGTGACTCGCATTGTCAATTCTCGACGGGTCCAAGTCCCAGTGACACTGACACCTATTAACGTACAGTACTATACTGACTTTACAGTACCGTACAGTGCAGTAAGTCGAGTGTTGTAGTGTGACGTAGCAGGGTTTGTAATATCTTCCGATATCAGACTCAGTAACCAATGAGAGATGGGATTTGAGAGAGAATCAACTTTATTAGGAATACTGTAAGTAGCAAGGAGAGTAGCCTTGAGTAAAGAGACAGACACATAAGGAAGGATTCGACGGAACAGAATTCTTAATCTATTGTGCTGCTTAGATATTCTAGGTTGCAGTACTGTATAAGAACAAATAAAGATCAGCATTACGAATAGTACAGTAGGATAACAGGAGTACAACAAATACAGTATGTAGCGTATTTGTCACTTTATACTGTATCACGCGTCGACTTAAATACTGTACATTAAAATACAGTACTGTATATCTAATTTATGGTAATTGTCTAGGCAGTGTACAGTACTTCTTATATTAAGTAATAGTAGCTATCTATGCAATTATGTATAAAACACTTACTATAGAAGAACAGAGTTTATGACAGAGTTAGCCCATAACAATACTTACTCAGTGAAGAGGATTTACACTAGATTCCATTCCCATTCAATGTGAGCAATGGGAGTATTCAGACCTGATAGATGCTCGCTACTGTAGAAGAAAAAGTTTTCACTTATTTGTACACTGATCACTTAGCTGCGGTATATTTATTTCGTTTTCAGACGTAGAAAAAGGGGAAAAAATAGTGCTAAACAAGAGCAATGGAGTATTCGGGCCTGATAGATGCTCGCTACT